CCAAACGATCTCTTCCATAGATTTTTTTTCAAATAATTATGTGCCATGAAATTGCTTTTGCCTCCCTAGCAACCCCATAGATTTTTCTCTCGGGATGATGGATCCCGAAGCTGTTCTTTCAAATCTCCCAAGGGTCCATTCATCAAACGGAGTCTGTCTATCTTGCTGCCGGCTGTCCTGTTCTTCTTTTTCCTTCTTCCTCTTGCAGAACTAGAATGGCCCTTCTTAAAATAGAATCTCTGTTTTATAAATGACATTAGGCAGAAGTTGGATCTCAGCTTTTCTTTTCTCTCTCTCTCTGTATCCTCATGTCTGGAAATGCTGTGCAAAATTATCACTGGATGGAAACGTGGTGATTCTTCGTACTGTAGAAAAACATTGCCTTTCTCTCAATTAAACCCTGAAAGAGCAACAGTTTCAGGAATGTTGTTGTTATTATTATTATTATATTATTATTATTATTATTATTATTATTTAATCTTTAGTGAGATTCACAGCCTTTGAGGCTGCTTAATAGCTCAGCAGCTCGAGTCCTAACCAAGGACCTAGGAACTATTAAGGTATCATCGGAGGATGTAAGCTGTTCCGAGTAAGGTGGTTTTTTGTAGAGTCAAAATGTTCAAGTTGTTGTTGTTGTTGTTGTTGTTGTTATTATTATTATTATTATTTAATCTTTAGTGAGATTCACAGCCTTTGAGGTTGGTTAATAGCTCAGCAGCTCGAGTCCTAACCAAGGACCTAGGAACTATTAAGGTATCATCGGAGGATGTAAGCTGTTCCGAGTAAGGTGGTTTTTTGTAGAATCAAAATGTTCAAGTTGTTGTTGTTGTTGTTGATATATTATTATTATTATTATTTATTATTATTATTATTATTATTATTATTATTTAATCTTTAGTGAGATTCACAGCCTTTGAGGCTGGTTAATAGCTCAGCAGCTCGAGTCCTAACCAAGGACCTAGGAACTGTTAAGGTATCGTCGGAGGATGTAAGCTGTTCTGAGTAAGGTGGTTTTTTGTAGAGTCAAAATGTTCAAGTTGTTGTTGTTGTTGTTGTTGTTGTTGTTATTGATATTATTATTATTATTATTATTATTATTATTATTATTTTATTATTATTATTATTATTATTATACAGTATACACAGCAAACGAGATGACCATGCTGGATTTCGTATCCCAAATCACTAGTCGAACACTTCCCAAGCGTTTAGGACTGCGTGATGTATCGGTGGATTATGCGAGCAGATCCCAGTAAGGCGGCCTTCTGCAGCTGACCAATGGTGATCTTGTCAGCGCCAATTGTTCTTAAGTGCTTGCCTAGGTCTTTAGGCACAGCATCCAGTGTGCCGAGTACCACTGGGACCACCTGCACCGGTTTATGCCAGAGTCTCTGCAGTTCGATTCTCAAGTTCTGATATCTGGTGACTTTTTCAAGTTGTTTCTCATCGATTCTGCTGTCACCAAGTATGGCAATGTCGACGATCCACACTTTTATCTTCTCCACAATTGTGATATCCGGGGTATTGTGTTCCAAAACTTTGTCAGTCTGTATTCGGAAGTCCCACAGTAGTTTTGCATGCTCATTTTCGACCACTTTTTCAGGCTTATGATCCCACCAGTTCTTTGCTACAGGCAGATGGTAGTTGTGACACAAGTTCCAGTGGGCCATCTGAGCGACTGTGTTGTGATGTTGTTTGTAGTCAATCTGACCTATTGTCTTGCAGCCACTCAGTATGTGATCAATGGTTTCATCCGCTTCTTTGCAGAGTCTGCATTTGGGGTCATCGGCAGATTTTTTTTACTCTGGCTTTGATTACATTTGTTCTGATGGCTTGTTCTTGGGCTACAAAATTCAGGCCTTCTTTTTCTTTCTTCAGTGTTCCGTTGGCCAGCCATAACCAGGTCTTTTCCTTATCTACTTTTCCTTGGATCTTCTCAAGGAACGGTCCATGCAGTGCTTTGTTACACCAGCTGTCAGCCCGAGTTTGCATCGCTGTTTTCCTATATTGGTTTGCTGTGCTTTGAGCAGCTTCCTCTTGTTGACCTCCATCAAGAGGAAGCTGTTCAAAGTGCAGCAAACCAAGACTCAATATTTTATTCAATATTTTATTTATTTATATAATCAATATTTTATTTAACCAAGACTCAATAACAACTTCAACTTCTTCTTCTTCTTCTTCTTCTTCTTCTTCTTCTTCGTCTTCTTCTTCTTCTTTTTCTTCTTCTTCTCCTCCTCCTCCTCCTCCTCCTCCTCCTCCTCCTCCTCCTCCTCCTCCTCCTCCTCCTCCTCCTCCTCTTCTTGTTCAGCCAGATTCTTAGACTGGATTTGGCATTTTTATCCATCTACAGGTAGTCCTCAGCTTAACAACCACAATCGAGCCCAGAATTTCCATTGCTAAGTGAGACATTGGTTACATGAGTTTTGCCCTGTGTCACGACCTTCCTTGCCACAGTTGTTAAGTGAATCGCTGCAGCTGTTAAGTTAACAACATGGTTGTTAAATGAATCTGGCTTCCCCATTGACTTTTCTTGTCAGAAGGTCGCAAAAGGGGATCACGTGAGCCCGGGATGCTGCAGTGGTCATAAATATGAAACCAGTAGACAGGGCATCTGAATTTGGGTCATGTGACCTTGGGGATGCTGCAAAGGCCATAAGGGTGAAAATGGTCATAAGTTACTTTTTTGAGTAATGTTGTAACTTTGAACAGTCACTAATTGAGGATTACCTGTATCGAGTCCTTCCCAGGGACCTGCGATAGGCAGATGTTGTTGCTTGATATATTGTTGTTGTTATTATTATTATAAACTTTTATTCGCCAAACATGAAACTCAGTCAACTGAACATTTAAAAATGTATCACAAATAGCATTGACTGGCGCTGATGGTTGATAGGGGTTGCTGCCAGCATCCTAGGTATCAACCAAGTATCAAGATCAAGTGAAGTGGCTTTTTTTTTTTATAGACAAGTTTTATTGAAAAATTTTTCTTTCCATCATACATATTTTATGAACAGAGTGCCGACCGAGTCACACCTTACACATCTTATATAATCAAAATCATCATTATAATATATCTTAAATCTTCCCGTTTTTTCCAATAGTTATCTCTTTATACATCCTTTATTACAAATTTATAATTTTTCTCCATCTCTCCTTCTTTCAACTTCTGCCATATTATTTTCTTTCCGTCATTTTTTTATCCTTTTCAATTTTATTTTTCAGTAACATCCCTTTACGCCTTATGCTCCTTCTCTATGACAATCACTCCAATTGTTTACTTTCTTCCTTCATCACGTGGTCACAAGATCACGTGAAGTGTTCATACCACTTCATAATGCCTTGGTAAGGCCACACTTGGAATACTGCATCCAGTTTTGGTCGCCACGATGTAAAAAAGATGTGGAGACTCTAGAACAGTGATGGATAACCTTTTTGCCATCGCGTGCCAGGAGCGGGGGTGGGTGTCATGCTCGTGCATGCCCACATCCATAATTCTATGCGCCCCGCCCACTCCCCGCATTCCTGGCACGTGATGGCCCGGTAGGCCCGTTTTTCTCTCTCCCCAGGCTCCAGAGCCTTTCTAGGAGTCTGGGGAGGGTTAAAATTAGGAACTGGGGATCGGAAGTTGGCAAATGGGCTGTTTTCGGCCTCCGGAGGACCTCGGGGGGGAGGCCATTTTTGCCCTCCCCAGACTCCTAGAAAGGCTGTGGAGCCTGGGGAGAGAGAAAAAAATGGGCGTTCCTCACCACCACCCAAGGCCCTCCGGGGGCAGGAAACAGCTTGTTTCCCTACTTCTGGTGGGCCCAGAAGGCCCAAAAATCAGCTGGCCGGTACGCACATGCGCGCTGGAGCTGAGCTCACGTGTCCATCAATATGGCTATGGGTGCCGCATAATGCCATAGGTTTGCCATCACGGGTCTAGTAAGAGTGCAGAGAAGAGCAATAAAGATGATGAGGGGACTGGAGGCTAAAACATATGAAGAACGGTTGCAGGAACTGGGTATGTCTAGTTTAATGAAGAAAAGGATTAGGGGAGACATGATAGCAGTCTTTCAATATCTCAGGGGTTGCCACAAAGAAGAGGGAGTCTATTCATCCAGTTTTGGTCGCCACGAATTCAGCTATCGAACTACAATTCCCAGAATTCCTTTGGGAAAAGAAGGGCTGGGCTTTTCCAATCTCTTCATGTTGGCAGCTACAGGATAGGATCTGAATGTGTTTCAGACGTAGTCCTCGACTTAACAACAGTTCATTTTAGTGACCGTTCCAAGTTCCAACAGCCCTGAAAAAAAGTGACTTATGACTGTTTTTCACACGTATGACTGTTGCGGTATCACCCCTGGTCACGTGATCAAAAGTCAGTCCCGTGGCAACTGACTTCTATTTACAACGGTCACCACATCCTGGGATCAAGCGATCCCCTTTTGTGGCCTTCTGACAAGCAAGAGTAAGAGCCTTGGTGGCACAGCAGTCTAATGCACTGTTAAGTAGCACCAGCTGCCTGCAATTGCTGCAAGTTCAAATCTCACCAGGCTCAAGGTTGACTCAGCCTTCCATCCTTCCGAGGTAGATAAAATGAGGACCCGTTTGTGGGGGCAATAAGCTGACTTTGTATAAAAAAGAACACCGCTTGGTGGGGTGTGTGTGTGAAAAGCCCTACTAAGCAGGTATATACAAAAGTATGAAGGCTATTGCTTAACGCATTGTAAGCTGCTCTGAGTCTCCGGAAAAGGGCAGCATATAAATCGAACCAATAAAAATAAATCGAACCAATAAAAAAGTCAACGGAGAGGCCCAATTCCCTCGACAACCGTGTGACTCACTTAACAACGGCCACTTAGCCAAGTCGTAATATGGGGCAAAACTCGCTGAACAAATGTTTCACTTCACGAGAGACATGTTGGGCTCTGTTGCGGTCGTACACAGAGGACTGCCTGTTGTTTTCTCTCGTGTCTTCCAACCCCAGTGTTATTTTTCACATTTTTTCCCCCTCTCTTCAGATGACGGAGTATAAGAGAGCCATGTTTCAAGAAGACGAAGTGCTGGATGCCGCAGGGGACGGGAGCAACACATCTCCGGACAGCGTCGAGGTAGGGCGAACGGTGGAAGGTCCAGTAGCCCTTCAAACTTACAATTATTCATTTAGCGGCCATTCGAGGTTGCAGGGGCACTGAAAAATGTGACTTATGACCAGGGGTGGTTCTAAATTTTTTTACTACCGGTTCTGTGGGTGTGGCTTATTTTGTGGGCGTGGCTTGATGGTCATGTGACAATTCTTTAGGATTTAGTAGAGGTACTGGTCTACCAGGCTTTTAACTGCTTGCAGAGCTGCACCGGTCTACTCATGTATTTTTGCAGGCACTGGTTTACCCATTTATTTTTGCAGGCACCGATCTACTGATTTGTTTTTGAGGCACCGGTCTACCACCAAACTGCCTTTTACCACTGATCAGCTGTAGGGCGGCCCTTTGAAGCCCCGCGGCAACAGTTTAAACAGTTTTTTTTCCTTATAGCCCATCAGCTGGGACTCAGGAGGCAGCAATAGATTGGGGTGGGTTGAAATAAAAGGTAAGAATAACGTGGGGGGCGGGGGGTTGGGGGGTGATGGGGGCAGAACAGGTTCGGTGATGTCATATCGTCACCGCTACTGGCTTGGCCGAACCGGGCCGAACCGAGAGGAACCCACCACTGCTTATGACTAGATTTCCCATTTACAACCATTGCAGCATCCCATGTGGTCACGTGATCAGAATTTGGCACTTGGCAACCGGCATATATTGATGACGGTTGCAATGTCCCGGGGGCTGGGGTGTCATATGATCCCCATTTGTGACCTTCCCAGCTGCTTTCCGCCGAGCAAAGTCAATGGGAGGAGCCATTGACCGCATGATTCATTTAACAAATACAGTGATTCGTTTAACAAACCGCGCGAAAGAGGTCGCAAAATGGGACACAGGTCACTTCACCACTGTCTTGCTTAGCCATGGAAATCTTGCGCTCCATTGGGGTCATAAGCCGAGGACTATTTGTGTACTTTCACGGATTCGACTCCAGCCAGAGAGGCTGCCGTGCGATCTTTACACACCCTGTGGAAACTAATCAAGGAGAGAAGCAACTTAGAACTAAGGAGAAATTTCCTGACAATTAGAACAATTAATCAGTGGAACAATTTGCCTCCAGAAGTTGTGAATGCTCCAACACTGGAAGTTTTGAAGAAGAGATTAGATAACCATTTGTCTGAAATGTTGTAAGTTTCCTGCCTAAGCAAGGTGTAGGTTTAGCCTATTATTCAAACCTCCCAGTTGTCAATTATGGGTTTGGACGATAATTGGGTGAAATCCAGCAGGTTCTGACAGGTTCTGGAGAACCGGTAGTGGAAATTTTGAGTAGTTCAGAGAACCAGCAAATACCACCTCTGGCTGGCCCTAGAGTGGGGTGGAATGGAGATTTTGCAGTATCCTTCCCCTGGAGTGGGGAGGGAATGGGGATTTTGCAGTATTTTTCAGGAGCCTGGATAGCTCAACAGACAGAAGCACTGTAATTTTACACCAGCTGTCTGCAATTAAAGTAAGATCGAATCTCGCCAGGCTGAAGGTTGACTCAGCCTTCCATCCTTTCTACGGTAGGTAAATTGAGGACCCAGTTTGTGGGGGCAATAAGCTGACTTTGTATAAATATACAAAAGTATAAAGGCTATTGCTTAACGCACTGTAAGCCGCCCTGAGTCTCCGGAGAAGGGCGGCATATAAATAAATAAATAAATAAAGTATCCTTCTGCTGCCACGCCCACCAAGCCACACACACCACCCAAGCCACATCACACCCACCAAGCCACGCCCACCGAACCGGTAGTAAAAAAAATTGGATTTCACCACTGGTTTGGACTGAATATATTGGGAGAATCCAGATTGAAATTGAAATCCAGAATATTTCAATCCAACGGTGCTTTAAAACAATAAATCGTAGTTTAGCAAGCTGAATGAAGTATGTCTGTGTTTCTCAACCTTAGCAACTTTAAGATGGGTGGACTTCAACTCCCAGAATTCCCCAGTCAGCGAAGCTGGCTGGGGAATTCTGGGAGTTGAAGTCTACCCATCTTAAAGTTGCTAAGGTTGAAAGACACTGAAGTATGTTAATAGAATGGTACTTTAATCTATTCCATCTCCCGTTTCTTTTCTCTTTCCTCTTTGATTCTTGTCTCTTCTTTGAGGTGGGCTTCCGAAAAGGGGATGGCCTCCTGCTGAGTCGCCTTGGCTCCCAAATTCATCTGAAGTTGGTCTTCTGGGTGATTTCCCTCTTCGTGGCAGTTCTGCTCCTGAGTACAATCGTAGCCATGGCCATCCAGTACAGCAAAGGTAGGTAGGTTCAAGGCCCACAGTAAGTTGGACCACGGGCCTCATTCTCCTTCGTACGGGTAGTCCTCGACTTACGGCCGTCCATTTAGTGACCATTCAAAGTTACGAAGGCACCGGAAAAAAGTGATTCATGATTATGACCGTTTTTCACACTTAGGACCGCGGAGGCGTTCCCGTGGTCACATGATCAAAATTCAGACACTCGGCAACGAACTCATATTTATGACGGTTGCGGTGTCCCAGGGTCATGGGATCCCCTTTTGCGACCTCCTGGCGAGCAAAGTCAAGGGGGAAACCAGATTCTCTTAACAACCACGTTACTCACTTAACAGCCACAGGCATCTGCTGAACAGTGGTGACAAGGAAGGTCGTAAAAATGGGGCGAAACTCGCTTGACAAATGTCTTGCTCAGCAAATGAAATTTGGGGCTCAATTGTGGTTATAAGCGGAGAAGGTAGTCCTCGATGTATGACCATAATTGGGCCCCCCACATTTCTGTTGCTAAACAAGACATTTGTTAAGCGAGTTTTGCTCCATTGCAACGGCTGTTAAGTGAATCTCCACTGTTGTTAGTAACAGGGTTGTTAAGTGAATCTGGCTTCCCCATTGACCCCCCCTTTGCAAGGTAGCAAAGGAGCATTTCAGAGCCTCATGCAAGGAAACGCAAAACGACGCAAGCAGGAAAACTGCCTTAATGATGGAGCTGTCTGCTTGGCGACCCCAACAACACCCCCGTAACTGTTGTGACCCACCAGTGGATCTGGCAGCAAATTCGGATAGTGAGAAGGTTGGGGAGGAACAAGGGCCAGTCCTGGAGTCTGGGGAGGGCTCTGATGAGGGCTCTGCGTCGGAGGCAGAGAGGGGGCCAGGGCCGGATGCCAGTTATCAGCTGCCTTCGGAGTCAGACATCAGTGAGGCAGACGAACAGCTGGAGCCTGTCCCCAGTGTGTGCGCATGGGCAGAGTTGCCAGACGAAGGGAACAGCTGAAGAACAAGGGTCGACTTGGGAGTAAAGCCACAGGTGGACGATGAATGGCCCCTCCCAGAGGGAATAAAAGAGGAGCGAAAGGGGGAGTGGAGTTTGCAGGAGACAATGAGTTCATTCCTGCATTCTTGCCAAGTATTGCAGTTGTCAGCTTTGGAGGCCATATTAATCCAGAAGCTCCAATGCTGCCACCTTCTCATGTGTGGAAAAGTAGGAGGGGGGATTAAGGAGAGGGGTTGTAAGTAGACATAATAGCATTCTTCCTGTCGGTCAAGGTCAGGGCGATCCAGCATCTGGAGAAGTCAGGGGGGCTGGATCGAGATGGAGCGGACGTTGATTGGAGCATGTGATCGACTGAGGAGTGAGGGGATGGTTTTGGGGGTTTTGATTTACTGAGGGAAAACGCGGACCTTTCAGATTCGGGTTTTCCCAGATGTGCCAGTTTGCCTATTCTAGTAAAGAGAACTTTGGAAAAATGTTTGCTTCCGCATCTTTACTTGGAGTTGGGGTTTTTCTGGAACGCTGACAGCGGTGTCTGAAAGATATCGGCCTGGCCACTCTCCAAGCCTGATAAAGGTCGGTAATTGTGAACTATCTTGAAAGACTGTGGGAGAGGAAAGACTTGGCTGGAGAGGAACTCACCGTAAATGAAATAAAAGAGGTTTATCGGGAACGAGGACTCAGTTTCGTGCTGCTGGGGAAGCCGAGGTCAGTACAGTAACTGGCTCTCCCCCCTCCTGCTGTGCTTCGGGGCTCAGGGACAGCTTTCAACAGGCCCTCTTGAGCAGGCTGGGAACCCGTGTGGGGACACACTCACACCGCTTTCACTGAGATAATAGCCTCCCAAGATGAGTGAGTAACCCACACTTCATGACAAGGAGACACACAAAGAATTCTTTGTTAGCCCCTGACTGCATTGAGCGCAACATAGCCAAGATTTATTTATTTATTTATTTATTTATTTATTTATTTATTTATTTATTTATTTATTTATTTAAATTTATATCCCGCCCTCTCCCCGAAGGGACTCAGGGCGGTGAACAGCCGAGAATTAAAATAACATACAATATAAAAGTTAAAATAATAAAAATAAATTAAATTAAACGGCCGCCCCAGTTTAAAACCCCTAGCAATACAATTAAAAAACTAACCCCTCAAACCTATTCAGGCCAGGCCGGCTTGCTGAAATAAAAACGTCTTCACGGCCTTACGGGAAAGTGCAGAGATCCGGGATCAGCCGTATTCCGGGAGGTAGCTCGTTCCAGAGGGCGGGTGCTCCCACAGAGAAGGCCCTCCCCCTGGGGGCCGCCAGCCGGCATTGCTTGACCGACGGCACCTTGAGGAGACCCTCTCTGTGGGAGCAAATTGGCCGGTGGGAGGTTATCGGTAGCAGAAGGCGGTTTCGTAAATTCCCTGGCCCTAAGCCATGGAGCGCTTTAAAGGTGAGAACCAACACCTTGAAGCGCACCCGGAAGACCACTGGGAGCCAGTGCAGCTCGCGCAGGAGAATTGTTATATGGGAACGCCATGTCGCTCCCGTAATCACCCGCGCGCCGCATTCTGGACCGGTTGGAGCCTCCGGGTGCTCCTCAAGGAGTTTTAAGTTTTGCTTAAAGCTCTTCGCGCACACATGCACACACATATCCCTTTTGCTCTCGCATATTTACCAACCCTCACCAGGAGTGGGAGGGGCTGTGTGTTTAGGAGACAAGCTGCGGCTTCAAGCAATTGTGGCTTCGCATGTTGTGCATCGCCCCAGAAGCTTCTGTTGTGCCCACCCCCTCTTCTTCAAAGCACCCCTCTTCCTTTCCATCTCCGCTGTGCCTTATGGTTGTGCAGCTGGTCCCCAACTTACAACCATCCATTTAGGGATCATTCGAAGTGACAACGGCGCAGGAAAAAGTGATTTCTGACCATTTTTCATACTTTGAATATAAGGACATGCATGCATACAATATCCGCTTCCTTCGCTCCTGATGGGGTAATCAATGCATTCGATTCAGATTTATTTATTTATTTATTTATTTAAATTTGATTTATATGCCGCCCTTCTCCGGAGACTCAGGGCGGCTTACAATGCGTTAAGCAATAGCCTTCATACTTTTGTATATTTATACAAAGTCAGCTTATTGCCCCCACAAACTAGGTTCTCAATTTACCTACCTTAGAAAGGATGGAAGGCTGAGTCAACCTTGAGCCTGGGGAGATTCGATCTTACTTTGATATATTAAATGTATATGCCTCCCCATCCTGCAGTTTGAGGCGACTCTGAGCGGCTTACAACATACTACAAAATACAGATATAAAAAATATTATATGGATAAATGATATTTTTATAGTGTATAAATCAGAGGTGGGTTTCAGCAGGTTCTGACCAGTTCTGGAGAACTGGTAGCGGAAATTTTTGAGTAGTTCAGAGAACCGGTAGTAAAAATTCTGACTGACCCCGCCCCCATCTATTCTCTGCCTCCCAAGTCCCAGCTGATGGGAAGAAATGGGGATTTTGCAGTATCCTTCCCCTGGAGTGGGGTGGGAATGGAGACTTTACAGTATCCTCCTGCCACGCCCACCAAGCCATGCCACACCCACCAAGCCATGCCACACCCACCAAGCCACACCCACAGAACTGGTAGTAAAAAAATTTGAAACCCACCACTGGTATAAATATAAAACATTACAAACAATTAGTGTCCTTCTCTCATCTTTTTATATATAGAGTACGGGGGGTTTCTCCTATTTTACAGGTTCTCTGCTAAGGCTTCTCCTCTGTGTGTTTTTATTTAAGATGGTAAAAAAGAGGCACGGAATAGAATAAGTTTTAAGTTCTCCTTGGAGAGTTGACTTTGGTTTCATCAACTACTTAAAGGTATCGTGAAGGCTAGCAATGGTGAATTTTTTTACTAAGCTCCAGCAACCCAGCTCTCAAGGAGAAACAGTTGTATTACTAATGTGGTAGCGCAGTGGTTAAGAATGCAGCATTGTGGGCTGACTCTGGCCACTGCCAGGAGTTCGATCCTGACCGGCTCAAGGTTGACTCAGCCTTCCATCCTTCTGAGGTTGGTAAAACGAGGACCATATTGTTGGGGGCAAATATGCTGACTCTGTAAACCACTTAGAGAGGGCTGTAAAAGCACTGTGAAATGGTATATATGGTATTGCAATTTTCTTCCTTCCTTCCCTCCCTCCCTCCCTCCCTCCCTTCCTTCCTTCCTTCCTTCCTTCCTTCCTTCCTTCCTTCCTTCCCTTCCTTCCTTCCTTCCTTCCTTCCTCTCTTAATGCCTACCTTCCTTCCTTCCTCCCACCTTCCCTCCCTCCCTCTCTTAATTCCCTTTCTCATTCTCCTTCCTGGTGGCTCAGTGGTTAGAATGCAGAATTGCAGGCTGATTCGGCCCACAGCCAGGAGTTCGATCCTGACCAGCCCAACGTTGACTCAGCCTTCCATCCTTCCGAGATGGGTAAAATGAGGACCCAGCTGGTCAGGGCCAATTGGCTGACATTATAAACAGCTTAGAGAGTGCTGTAAAAGCACTACGGAGAGTATATACTGTGTCCCCCCCCAAAAATAAGACCCTGTCTTATATTTTTTGAACCCTGAAATAAGCGCTTGGCCTTATTGCCATGCGCTCAAAAGCCTGATTGGGCTTATTATCAGGGGATGTCTTATTTTGGGGGAAACAGGGTAGCTAGTCCTCAACTTACAACAGTTTTCTCAGTCAATGGGAAGCCAGATTGTTATTAACCTAACAACTGCCATGATTCATTTAACAACCATGGCACAAAAGGTCGCAAATTGGAGCCCAATCCGCTTAAGAAATGTTTCATTGAGCCACAGAAATTGTGAGGGTCAATTGTGATCGTAGGTCTATTGTTATTGCAATTGGCTGGCCTTCCTTTTTATACAAAGCTCCCTGCCTCCCACCTTCTCTGTCTGTCTTTCTTCTTATGAAAATCCCCAAAGCGTTTATCGTAAAGCGTTTCATATCTCTACAGAAAGCCAGAGCGATGGCTGGATTTTCAGAAGCATACAGTAGTGGCCAAAATTGTGGAAACCTTTTGGGAAAAGTGTGTCTTCTAAAACTAGCTAATAACACCGCTTTTTCTTGGAGTAGTACCATAAAATTATATATCAATGGAAAGATAAGTTAATCAAGAATGTAATGCAATAATTTTTATGAAGGATTTGCTATTAGAATGGCAGATACAGTATAAAGAAGAAAAAATGAAACACGTAGAAAAAAACAAGATATGCAAAAATGATCACCATGTCAGTTAATACTTAGTTGGGTAACCTTTAGCATGAATTACGGCCTTACAACGTCTTCCCATGGAGTGAACCAAGTCTTTTAGTTCTGCAGCTGTTCTAATGTGAAACCAGGATTGAATGATGGCTTCGATTAACTGGGTTTTATTGCTGGGTCGCTTCCGACTAACAAGTTTCTTTAGTCGGCTCCATAGATTTTCAATTGGGTTAAGATCTGGGCTATTCCCAGCACTGGAATATGATTTTCTTGTATATTAACGCCTTGTAAGCCTCCCTGAGTCTCCGGAGAAGGGCTGCATATAAATAAAAATAAAAATAAAAAAAATATATATCTTGAAACTCTCCCAAAAAGTGGTGTTATTAGCCATCAAACCTCAAAATACACTTTTCCCAAAAGGTTTCCACAATTTTGGCCACTACTGTATGCTAACATTGGTTGGTTTGCTTCTCCTAGGAGAAACAGAGGAGACAATTCCTAGTAAACTAATGAATAAAGGAGCTAGCTGGTTCTCTGGAGAAGGAAATTATGGGCAGACCAACAGTCTGTGTTTCTTTTAGTGCTAAGTTTATCTACCGGTTGTCAGCTTGTGGACATTTTACCCTAGTTACTTGTTTATATACATATATATATATTTACGGTATCTCCTTTATTTATTTGGCCAAGTCTGGTTAAACACACAAGGAATTTGACTCTGGCAGAAAAGCACTCAGTGTTCTTGGAAAACAGCAGAATGTAATAATGGTGATGACACTAAAGTGTACAGCCAATCAAAGGGGGAAATAAAAAAATATAAAGGGGATAAATAATATAATACTGTCGCCAAACCCTATGGATTAATGTTGTGGCCCGCCAGCGGCCAGCAGATCTGGCAGCAGATTCGGACAGTGAGGAGGTTGGGGAGGAACATGGGCCAATCCTGGAGTCTGGGGAGGGCTCTGACGAGGGCTCTGCGTCAGAGGCAGAGATGGGGCCAGGGCCACCTGGGAGCAATGCACGGAGCCTGCAGAGGCGGATAGCAGAGAGGTAGAGGAACAGGAGGCTCCTCCCGTTCCTAATGCTCACATGTGCAGAGCTGCCAGAAGGCAAGAGCAGGTAAAGCAAAAGGGACGACTCAGGAGTAAGGCCAGGAAATGATTGGCCCCTCCCGGAAGGCTTAAAAGAGCAGCAATGGCTCTTGGGATCTTTGTAGGAAAGCAACGTTGCTACATTTGCTTCTTGTCAGCGTCTCTTGCTTCTGAACTTTTGCCAAGAAAAGCCTTTGGTAGGGTGCCAAAGTAGACAAAGGTTGGTGATAAGACCGAAGGACTGTTTATGAAGAATTTGTTTGGAACTTAATTTGGACTACGCTGAGAGTGAGGTAATTCTCAGCTGTCCTAATAAAATATGTTTGTTTAGGACTGATTGTGTCTGGCAATAACTACTTGGATCTAGGTCACAACAGCGGTGGGCGGAGGCTCCCGCCGCCGCCACTACCAGTTCACCCGAACTGGCGCAAACTGGTAGAAACCCACCACTGATTTGCATCCTTTTGCAGCAGGGGTGTCAAACTCAATTTCATTGAGAGCCGCATCAGGTTTGTGTTTGACCTTGGGGAACCCGGAGGGGGGAGTGGCCGGGGCGAGCATGACCAGCTTGACGTCACTCGTGTCGGGTGGCCCCAGCGCTCTGCCAGCAAAAACGGGCTCTCAAGCTCTGTTTTCAGATGCAACGGCCTCCTGCAACCCTCTGCCAGCGAAAACAGAGCTCGGGAGTCTGTGTGCGGCCCTCCCAAGCTTTGTTTTCACTGGCAGAGGCACCATGAGTCGGTCCTTCACTGTTTTGCAGGGTGGGCCTTTGGCCAAATCTAAGCACCCTGCAAGCCAGATCTGGCCCACAAGGCTTGAGTTTGACACCCCTGTTTTAGAGGGTCGTTGAAGCACTTGGAGGTTTATCTGTGTCCTCAGGGTCACCTGAGTAGTTGAAATGGTTCCTGTAGTCTGCAATTTCCCGCCCCCCCCTCTGCAAATCCATTCCTACTCCCACGTAAATCTCCGTGTGTCTCTTCCAGATCCTTCGCATACAACTTGCCTTACTGAAGCCTGCGTCATTGTAGCTGGTAAGATCTTGGAAGCTCTGGATCCAGACGTCAAGCCCTGTGATGATTTTTACCAGTACGCCTGCGGGGGATGGATCAAGCGGAACCCACTGCCGGATGGACGCTCCAAGTGGAGTACCTTCAACAGTATTTGGGACCAAAATCAGGCCATCATGAAACACCTGTTGGGTAAGAAGTGGATGGTTACAGGCGGGCATCGGAGTATGTTTCTACGTTCTGGGTTCTTTAGCTTGAGCAAAAGAAGCAGATTCGGAATCCAGGGCTGCTAAAGAATCTGAAGACAAAGGCCAATATTTGACATTGGAATGAAGGGTCATGAGTTGAAGGGATTCATGTTTTGTGGAAGGATCGTGGAGAATCCCAACAAGACAGCTTTCTCCTTGGAGGGTGAGAAGTGGAAGGTTAGATTTAGACTGAGGAAAATACGGGCTTTGGATCTCACCCAGGTAGTCCTTGTGTCAAGGGTTCCAAGTAATACATCCATATCAAGCAAAACTCCGAGGCAGGTAGGTTCCTCAAAGAATAGCTTTGTTGGAAGCAGGGGTGAAATGCTCCCGGTTCGGACCAGATCGCCCGATCCGGTAGCGATGGCGGTGAGTGGTTTGAAGAACCGGTAGCAAAAATCCCTGCGCGCACACACACACACCCCATGCCCAGTTGAGCCACGCGATCATCAGAGGCTGTGTTTTTTCACTTTTAAAAGCATTTTTTCTACAACCTCTTCAGCAGAAAAAATGCTTTTAAAAGTAAAAAAAAAAAAAAAAAGCCTCTGATGATTGTGCGGCTCAGCTGGGATCGTCAGAGCCTTTTAAAAGCATTTTTTTACAACCTTTTCGGCTGAAGAGGTTATAGAAAAAATGCTTTTAAAAGTTTTAAAAAAAAAGTTGGCCATGCCCACCCAGTCACATTACCCCCACCCACCCACCAAGCCACGCCCACAGAACCGGTAGTAACAAATTTTACATTTCACCACTGAGGACTACATATATATTTAACTCTATAAAAATATAATTCACCAACCAATCAGAACAGAGCTAGAAGGCACCTTGAGATCTTCTAGTCCAACCCCCTGCTGAAGCAGGAAACCCTGGCCTATACCATTTCAGATAGGTAACTGTCCTGTCTCTTCTTAAAAACCTCCAGTGATGAAGCGCCCACAATTCTGAAGGCAACTTCTGTTTCTACAACCTCTTCGGCAGAAAAAATGCTTTTAAAAGTAAAAAAAAAAAAAAAAGCCCCTGATGATTGTGCAGCTCAGCTGGGATCGTCAAAGGGCTTTTCAAAGCATTTTTTTCTACAACCTCTTTAGCCGAAGAAGTTGTAGAAAAAAAAATGCCTTTAAAAGCCCCTGACGATCCCAGCTGAGTTGCCTGATCGTCAGAGGCTTTTAAAAGCATTTTTTTTCTGCAACCTCTTAAGGTTGTAGAAAAAATGCTTTTAAAAGTTAAAAAAAAAAGTTGGCCATGCCCACCCAGTCACATTACCTCCCCCCCACCACCAAGCCACGCTCACAGAACTGGTGGTAACAAATCTTAGATTTCACCCCTGGTTGAAAGAATCATATTGGCACAGATCTGGTGAAAATTGACTTGTCATTTTGGGGCACCTGGACAGTGACTGGAGCTGTCCAGTTGTCCAACCCTTTCTTGACCCTCATGTGCTCCTCTCTCCAGAAAATGCCACTTTTAACTCCAGCAGTGAAGCTGAAAGGAAGACCCAACGCTATTACTTGTCCTGCCTCAGAGAACAGAAGATTGAGGAACTGGGGTCTCAGCCACTGATAGATCTGATCGAGAAGGTGAGTCCACAAGACCAATGGGCACAGCCGGGGTTGTGCGAAGGCTGGAGGGCGCTTGACAGGGGTGGTATGCATTTACTTTCCCTAATGGTTCGCAAAAGTGATCATGCGCATGCCCATCCACGCATGCGCCCGGCAGTACCTTCGCTACTGGTTCGCAAATGTGAGTGCACGCACCTCCTCCATGCATGCGCAGAGCCTTCTGTGCATGCACAGAGGGTCAAAAATGGGACATGATGAAATCCGGGTGGGTGGGCGGAGCCTTTTGCCACCGGCGCTACCAGATCACATGATCCGGATAGAACCGGCTGAATTTCACCACTGGCGCCCAGCCTTCTGTGCGTGTGCCCGGCCTCACAAACTTGCCTAAATAGGATGGCATAGAACAGTGATGGCTAACCTTTTTGCCATCGCGTGCCAGGAGAGGGGGGGCGGGGGAGGGTCACGCGTGCACGTGACCACGCGCATGCGCACGCAACCCCAACCCCCGCTCCTGGCACATGATGGCCTGGTAGGCCCGTTTTTCTTTCTTACCTGGTTCCAGATCCTCTCTATGCATCTGGGAAGGGCGAAAACAGCCTTTCCCACTCCCTTGGAGACCCTACAGAGGCTGAAAGGGCCCATTTCCCAATTCTCGGTGGGACAGGAAGTGACATTCTTTACTGTCCCCAGCCTCCAGAACCTCTCTAGGAATCTCTAGGAGCCTCTCTAGGAGTCTCTAGGAGCCTCTCCAGGAGTCTCTGGAGGCTGGGGACAGGAAAAAACGTCACTTCCTGTCCCACCGGGAGTCGGGAAATGGGCCCTTTCAGCCTCCGTAGGGCCTCCAAGGGAGTGGGAAAGGCTGTTTTCGCCGTTCCCAGATACACAGAGAGGATCTGGAGCCAGGTAAGAAAGAAAAACGGGCCTTCCCCACCACGCCCCCAGGCCCTCCAGAGGCAGGAAACAGCCTGTTTCCCTACTTCTGGTGGGCCCAGAAGGCCCGAAAATCAGCCGGCGTGCGCATGCGCCCCAGAGCTGAGCTGGCATGCCCACTAATATGGCTCCGCATGCCACCTGTAGCACGTGTGCCATTGGTTCGCCATCACGGGCATAGAACCAGGGCGGATGGGCAGGCCCACCAGTGATTTCAGCTACCGGTTCGGGTGAAGTGGCCCGAACCGGCTGAATACCACCTCTGGCGCTTGATGCAGAAAGCGAGGACCAATAAATTCTTGCCCTTTATCGCCTGTGTTCTGCCCAACAAGCTTAATTTAGGTCAACTGGGGACCTATTGACTTCATTCCCATAATGGTAGCTCAGCTTGCTTAGTCTTAATTTCCTTATTTTTTTTCTCCCCTTCTGCTTTATTATGCTGCAGGAAGCCAGGCCGTTCGGTTAATTTAGGGTTTGGTATTCTGCGTAGGTCCAGAAATAAATTAATTCAGTCATCGCATTAAGTAACATGGTCTACTCCTCAAGAGGAAAATATTCTTTCAGCACCCTGGAGAGCTCTGCTTCCAGTGATTTACAAGCTAGGTTGCCTCAAGCAGTTTGTGGGTCCTGCAGCTATTTGGGTCCAACCATCACTTTAAGAAGATTGGTGAGGCTGGGTAATCCTTCAACTTTGCCTTTGCCTTGTAGATTGCTGTTTCTGAAGACTTAGATTTCCAGATGCTGTGGTGCTCATGGATTAGTCCTCCTCTGAGTCCAGGCATTCAGACAATCAGAGGACATACCCCCAAGTAGAGGAGTATAGAATTGGACAGGCTGATGGACTTCCTTGATGTTAGAAGGTTTCCCTAGCCCGGGGGTGTCCAACTTTGCCAACTTTTAAGACTTGTGGACTTCAACTCCAAGAATTCACCAGGCAGGCATGTTGGCTGGGGAATTCTGGGAGTTGAAGTCCACAAGTCTTCAAGTTGCAGGTTGAATGCCCATGCTCTAGTTCCTACCTGATTTTGGCCTTGGGATGAGGAAAAAGAAGAAGAAAAGTCATGAAGGAAAAATCTGAGGTGGATTTTATTCAGGGCGGCCTGTTGCTCACAGTAGGCCACTGAAGAATGCAACTTACTTTAACACTGGATGCTTTAAAACAAAATCCATCACTCTTACATTATTACAACTTATTCTCAGGGATTTTTTTGGCAAGCAACAATTGTATGAAAGTAGGTAGACGTATTGTCTAAATCAGAGGTCTTCAAACTTGGCAGCTTTAAGACTTGTGGATTCCAGTCAGCATAGCTGTCTGGAGAATTCTGGGAATTGAAGTCCACAAGTCTCAAAGCTGCCAAGTTTGGGGACCCCTGGTGTAAGTACAATAAGGCCCTGCTCATAAAAGGAGCTTGCTTAGGAACAGTTACAGAGTGTTTTGAATATTAAAAGCATTTTGCTCACATTCTCATGAAGAGACTCTGATTTACGCCCAAGGCTAGTCAGTTGATGTTATATTAATTCACATAGTGAAGGAAAATCTGGCTCCAACTTGAGTAGAATTGGACCAGTTCTATTCAACCTGTGGAGGGCTAAGTTTCTTCTTAAGCAGACCCAAGAAGCAAGGAAATATTTGAACGGAATACTTATATCTAATCAAGAGGAAACAACGGACATCATAAAAGCTAAATTCGCCAAGGACCCTGTCATATTTGAGTGAAATTGCTGTCCCAGCTCAACTGGCTTTGTCACCTGGTGTGCCTTTCACTCAAATTGAACACACCAAGGTGCGGATCATAAAAGAAGCTTTATTTTGCACAGCACACTCCCTCAAAACCTGCGGCCCCACTAAGGGTGGGATTCAGCCGGTTCGGACTGGTTCGGGCGAAGCGGATGCTAATTTTACACCTGGTTCGCCAAACCGGTAGTTGCAAGGACTGGCTGGCCCCGCCCACCCTGCCCCTCCCCTCACAGGAGTCTCCATGCAGCTCGTTTTGGATGCCAGGTAAATGCAGTGCCCGTGCGGAGGTTTATTTTTTATTATTTTATTAATCATATTTCTATGCCGCCCACTCTCCGAGGACTCTGGGCGGCTTACAACAATCGACAGAATACTAAATAGCATATTTGTCCCCCCAACAATCTGGCTCCTCATTTTACCCACCTCGGAAGGATGGAAGGCTGAGTCAACCTTGAGCCGGTGAGATTTGATCTGCTGATCTGCTGAACTAGCAGTCAGCTGAAGTAGCTGCAATACAGCACTCTAACTACTGCGCCACCTCGGCTCAGCTGGTTCTGGGAGGGTGAACAACGGGCCTCCCCGAAGTTCTGGAAGTCTGGAAACAGCCCTGTTTTTGGCCTCTGGAGGGCCTCTGGAGCCCGGGGAAGGTTACTGCAAAATCCCCATTTCCTCCCGATCACCTGGGACTCAGGAGGCAGAGAATAGATGAGGGCAGGGCTAGTCAGAGGTGGTATTTACCGGTTCTCCGAACTACTCAAAATTTCCTCTACCGGTTCTCCAGAACTGGTCAGAACCTGCTGAAACCCACCTCTGGTACTGATGAAGGGACAATTATGAAAATAGGCTTCATCTACAGTACTTGCAGTATACACTATTGAAACAACGACGTCTACGTGGCTGGGGCATGTCGTGAGAATGGCCGATGGTCGGATTCCGAAAGATCTCCTGTATGGAGAATTAGTGCAGGGAAAGCGCCTCAGACGGAGACCACAGCTGTGATATAAGGATATCTGCAAGAGGGACCTAAAGGCCCTGGGAATGGGACAGTAACAACTGGGAAACCTTGACCTCCGATCGTTCAGCTTGGAGGCTAAAGACGCAGCATGGCCTTCTCCAATTCAAAGAGACCCTTGTTCGGCAGGCTGAGGCAAAGGGGCAGCCCCGGAACCAGTGAAATTTGGGGGCTGGACAGGGGACAGAATGTATCTGCCGTCAATGTGGAAGGGATTGTCACTCTCAAATTGGCCTTTTTAGTCACACCAGATGCTGTTTTAGGACCTCTTTCCAGAGCACGATACCATAGTCCCTTGAGACTGAAGGATGCCAATGAATGACAGTACCTGTGTACTTCTCTTTTCAGCAATACAGTTTTTAGCTACCATATTTCTACCTTTTGCCGTGCCCCGTGGCGCACCTGGGATTAATTTAGCAAGATAAAAGCACCTGTGCCTTGTCCTGAAGCTTAAGCCTTAATTGAATTTTTAGTGGATTTTTTTATGGGAGATTTGGGCCTTCTGGACCATTTTGGTCATATTGAAACTTAGACAAAGCAGGTTGGCTAGTGACAGGAAGATCAAGAGTTCATCCTACTTCAAAGACAATTCCAAGATTGTATTCCCAATTCTGGAGACTAGACAGTGAGAATAGACAGCGAAAATCTGACTAGGATCATGCCAAGAAATAGAAAAGTATCAAATATAACAGAGTTCCCAAACGTTTCTGGCTTTGCGGACAGGCAGCGAGTGGGGGGGAGGGGAGAGTTCATGTGAGCAGCTGGCAAGTATGCGCACGGGCAGCTCCATTTTTGGGGAACCGCGTTCACTCACTCCTGCCGCTCACGCTAATGGGGTGCATGCGCTCACTTGCTCACCCGCTGCTTGCACAAGTGAGGGTGCACACGCGCGCTCCCCGGTCATTTCCCCGGCCCAGTTGCAAAACCCTCCCGGCCCAGTAATGTGCCACGGTCCACAGATTGGGGACTCCTGAAATATAACACTAGCTGTCTCGAGGATCTCAACATTTTTTATTTTATTTTATTTTTTGAGAAATTTTTTTTATTTTAAAACAAAAACAAAACATAAAACCGTCATCATTCCAAACAATTACAGACAGTGAGTCGAACGGTTCATATTCTCTTGTGCATAAATCCATTTCTAAAATACCAATTTATAACAGCAACTTATATCTTTTATAGAAAAAAAAAACTTCAGGTATTTTATCTTTACATCAACCCCATATTTCATACTTCAATTCCATGATTTATTCTCTATCCATTGATAAAACAAATCCCATATCAAATGATATTGCTTATCTTTCTGTTCTCTAATTTCAAATGTCAATTTACTCATTTCAGCACATTCCATCATTTTCTTAATAATATCATCATCAGTAGGTAACTTCTCTCCTTTCCAATTTTTAGCAAATACAATTCTAGTCGCTGTTAAAGAGGATCTCAACATTTTTTAGAACCTGCCTGGGTTCTTACATTTTAAGATTCCAGGGAAGGGTTTGAAAATGTAAGCAAGCACCAATGAACAGTGTTCATTGAATAGAACAGAACAGAACAGAACAGAACAGAAAATATGGAATGGAATGGAATGGAATGGAATGGAATGGAATGGAATGGAATAGAATAGAATAGAATAGAATAATAGAATAGAATAGAATAGAATAGAATAGAAAATATGGAATGGAATGGAATGGAATAGAATAGAATAGAATAGAATAGAATAGAATAGAATAGAAAAAATGGAATGGAATGGAATAGAATAGAATAGAATAGAATAGAATAATAGAATAGAATAGAATAGAATAGAATAGAAAATATGGAATGGAATGGAATGGAATAGAATAGAATAGAATAGAATAGAATAGAATAGAATAGAATAGAATAGAATAGAATAGAATAGAATAGAGTTGGAAGGGACCTTGGAGGTCTTCTGGTCCAACCCCCTGTTTAAGCAGGAAACCCTACACCACTTCAGACAAATGGTTATCCAATCTCTTCTTAAAAACCTCCAGTGTTGGAGCATTCACAACTTCTGGTGGCAAGTAGTTCCACTGATTAATTGTTCTCACTGCCAGGAAACTTCTCCTTAGTTCTAGGTTGCTTCTCTCCTTGATTAGTTTCCACCCATTGCTTCTTTGTGACACCCTCTTCTTTGTGGCAGCCCCTGAGATAATGGAACACTGCTATAATGTCACCCCTAGATGCCAAATAGAATGTGGATTCCTGGTACACACAAAGGACAGAAAATATTTCAAGCCTCCATGCATGAATAACAGAATTATGGGGTCGGAAGGGACCTTGGAGGTCTTCTAGTCCAACCCCATGCCCAAGCAGGAGACCGTATCATTTCAGACAAGTGGCTGTCCAATCTCTTCTTTAAAAACTCCAGTGATAAAACACCCTTAACCTCTGAGGCCAAGCTATTCCACTGATTAATTGTTCTCACTTCTCCTTAATTCTAGGTTGGTTGTCTCCTTGATTACAGTAGTGGCCAAAATTATGGAAACATTTTGGGAAAAGTGTATTGTCAAGTTTCGTGGTCGTCTCGAATAAAATGCACTATAGCACTAAAGTAAATGCAGGTTGAAGTGCTGACATGTATTTTCTAAAACTAGCTAATAACACCCACTTTTTGGGGGAGTAGTACCATAAAATTATATTATTATTATTGTTGTTGTTGTTGTTGTTTATATTTATATACCGCCCTTCTCCTGAAGGACTCGGGGCGGTGAACAGCCAACAGATAAGACACAAGAAATACAAAATTTAAAAACAGTATTAAAATCCAATTAAATTAATTTGGCCCACAATTAAAAGCACCCCTGTATTAAATAAAACCCATAATTATATATCAATGGAATTATATATCAATGGAAAAATAATTAGGTAGCTAGAGAAGAGGAATAACCCAAATTAGAAGAGGAATTATATGTACTGAGAAATTTATATTATACAAGTAAAGTGAGGTCGGATAGACCTAATTGTTTTATAAAGATATGTAAGATGTTCTGTCTTCTCCGGATTATAATATAGATAATACAGTACCGAGTACTAGGTTATTAAGGTGCTGCTTATAGGTATGCTAGTTCTGTCGGTTTTTGTTGTGTTGTGTTGTCTTGTATGTTTTGTTTGTTATTTATATAATGTGTCATTTTTCTTTTTTTTTTAATGGAAAATGTAAATAAAGATTTTTTTTTAAAGAAAAATAATTTAATCAAGAATGTAATGCAGTAACTTTTATGAAGGATTTGCTATTAGAATAGCAGTTACAGTATAAAGAAGAAAAGCGAAATGCATAGAAAAAAACGAGATATGCAAAAATTATCACCATAGAAAAAACGAGGTATACAAAAATTATCACGTTAGTTAATACTCAGTTGGGTAACCTTTAGCATGAATTACGGCCTTACAATGTCTTCCCATGGAGTGAACCAAGTCTTTTAGTTCTGCAGCTGTTCTAATGTGAAACCAAGATTGAATGATTGCTTCAATTAACTGGGTTTTATTGCTGGGTCGCTTCCGACTAACAAGTTTCTTTAGTCGGCTCCATAGATTTTCAATTGGGTAAAGGTCTGGGCTATTCCCAGCACTGGAATAGGATTCTCTCGAAACTCCAAAAAAAGTGGTGTTATTAGCCATCAAACCTTAAAAATACACTTTTCCCAAAAGGTTTCCACAATTTTGGCCACTACTGTAGTTTCCATCTATTGCTTCTTGCCCTGCCTTCAGGTGCTTTTGGTCAATAGGTCAACTCTTTCTTCTCCATGACAAACCCTCAAGTACTGGAAGTAATCTTCTCATAGTCCTTCTTTTCATTAGACTAGACACATCCAATTCCTACAATCATTCTTTGTAAGTTTTAGCCTCCAGTCCCATAATCATCTTTGTTGCTCTTGCCTACACTTTTTCCTAGAGTCTATGATTTTCCTTTCCTTGACTTTTTTCTCCCCCCCACCCCTATGACTTTTCTTTTGGTTGCAAGGGATTAAAAATGGATTTTAACAAAAGCAACGAGTGTTCTACGATTCTAAAATTTTAAACCCGCTTTCCTCTCAGATTGGTGGTTGGAACGTCACTGGCTCCTGGAACCAGACCAACTTCATGGACGTGCTGAAACTGGTCTCTGCAACTTATCGCGCTTCTCCGTTCTTCACTGTTTTCGTGGGACCTGATTCTAAAAGCTCCAATAGCAACATCATCCAGGTAACTTTGTCCTGTCTTCCCACCTGTTGCAATAGCAAGTCTTCATGACCCCCAGAGAATAGAATAGAATGGAATGGAATGGAGGGGAGGGGAGGGGAAGGGAGGGGAGGGGAGAAGAGAAGAGAAGAGAAGAGAAGACAAGAGAAGACAAGAGAAGACAAGAGAAAAGAGAAGAGAAGAGAAGAGAAGAGAAGAGAATACTTTATTGGCCAAGTGTGATTGGACACACAAGGAGTTTGTCTTTGGTGCATATGGTCTCAGTGTACATAAAGAAAAAATAAAGTATATTCATCAAGAATCATAAGATACAACACTTAGTGATAGTCATAGGATAGTAATAAGCAATCAGATTATACTAGAAACAATAAAAACAATATAAGTTGTAAAGAGGGAATGGTTCTCACCTGCCTCAGCTCGGTCTCATCAAACTTACTGTGAGTAGACCACAGGGGTATCCAAACTTGGCAATGTACTGGTTTGGGTGAATGGGTAGCAGAGATTGCTGGGGTCAAAAACAGAGTGATATAGGATTGGATTGTGGCAGAGGTGGGTTTCAGCAGGTTCTGATCAGTTCTGCAGAACCGGTAGCGGAAATTTTGAGTAGTTCGGAGAACCGGTAAATATGGTAAATACCACCTCTCACCGGCCCCGGCCCCATCTATTCTCTGCCTCCCAAGTCCCAGCTGATCAGGAGGAAATGGGGATTTTGCAGTAACCTTCCCCTGGGGTGGGGAGGGAATGGAGATTTTACAGTATCCTTCCCCTGCCACACCCACAGAACCAGTAGTAAAAATTCTGACTGGCCCCACCCCCATCTATTCTCTGCCTCCCGAGTCCCAGCTGATCGGGAGGAAATGGGGATTTTACATTATCCTTCCCCTGGAGTGGAGTGGGAATGGAGATTTTACAGTATCCTTCCCCTGCCACGCCTACCAAGCCACGCCCACCAAGCCATGTCACACCCACCAAGCCACACCCACAGAACCGGTAGTAAAAAATTTGAAACCCACCACTGGATTGCGGGCGGGTGGGCAGCCCCACAGTTCACCACTACCGGTTTTCCCGAACCGGCTGAATACCACCTCTGGGTCGTAGGTGTGAAAAACAGTCACATGGCACTTTTTCACTGCCATTATAACTTTGAACAGTCACTAAATGAATGGTTGTAAGACAAGGACTACCTGTAATGCCTTTTTTCTTATGCAGCTGCACGTGAGTGGGAAGGCAGCCGTCAGTAGCTAAGAACGGGAAGATTTTTCTGGCTGTTTTATAGAGGAATATAAGGCAGTTGGAAGGACAGTCTGACTTCTGGATTGAATTTATTCTTTTTTTTTTACCTACGGCAGGTGGATCAGTCCGGCCTATTTTTACCATCACGAGATTATTACTTGAACAAGACAGCCAACAAGAAGGTAAGGAAACCTTTTACAGGTAGGCCTCGACCGATGATCGCTCCCCGCCCTGTGGGCTCCGCTGGCAGCAGCTGGAGGAGGCGGCGGCCGAGGCATCAAAACTGCCAGCCAATCAGAGGCAGCGGCTTCCTGCTAAAGAAAAGGAAAAGTTTGTGAGTCCTTTGCAACAAACCTTGGTTTGGTGGCTCGGCTTGGACAAGCAGCCGATCTCCAGGAACCTTCAAGCACGCTGGCCAAAGAGCATTTCTGTTGCTAAGTGAGGCACGTGTTCAGTGTCCCGTTTTATGACCCCCCTTTTTTTTTTTTGGCCGCAGTTGTTAAGTCAAATCCACGCAGTTGGTAAATGAATCATGCGTTTGTTAAGCAAAACTGGCCTCTCCACCCCCCCACCCCCCTGTTGACTTTGCTCGTCAGAAGCCAGCTGCGGAAGGTTGCAAATGGTGAACATGTGACCCTGGGAGAGTACACCTGTCATAAGTACACGCGCCCGAATTTTGATCACGTGACTGTGGGGATGCTGCAACAGTTCATGGGAACTCAAAGCATTGTTAGAGACCCCGCCCACCCACTTCCTGGTCTGTTCTTGTTGCTCCCCTCTGGGAGGAGGTTCCGAAGTATTTCTAGCAGGACCACCTGATTCTGTAACAGTTTTGTTCCCTAGGCCAGTGGTGGGCTTCAAAATGTTTTACTACCGGTTCTGTGGGCGTGGCTTGGTGGGCGTGGCATGGTGGGTGTGGCATGGCTTGGTGGGCGTGGTGGGCACAGCAAAGCTGAGGAATTCTGGGAGTTGAAGTCCACAAGTCTTAAAGTTGCCAAGGTTGGAGACCCCTGGAATAGAGTACAATAGAATAGAATAGAGAATAGAACAGAACAGAACAGAACAGAACAGAACAGAACAGAATAGAATAGAATACTTTATTATCACTTTGAATGTATACTAATTGGCATATTGTCAGCATTCTGATGCTGCCATAAAAAGGAGGAGACGAGGCTTGACTTTTCACCTACTTATTTTCTCTGTAGATAATATCCCCTAGGAGATGGGATGGGAAGGGGGACATTCCTGTGGGTTGAGGTCAGAAGCTGGGGAGACTGACTTGGAAGATGGCCAATGAGAAGATGAGAATTGGGGAACGGAAAGGGAAGGGTTTGGGGGTCAGAGGGTTAGTATCGGCTACGACGAAGTCGGGGCCAGATCTATCGTACTCAATAAACAGAATATTTCAGCAAAGATTAATTGTTTGGGAGTGCAATTTATTTGAGATGACATCAAAACCTGACACATATATTAAAATGAAATTATGTTGCATACAGCTTTCAAACGGTCTCTACCTCTAATATAAATATAACCATGACATAGATAGATAGATAGACAGACAGACAGACAGACAGACAGACAGACAGACAGACAATTATGCATGTACCCACATATATGACACAGAGAGACAACAAAAGTCTAGTTCGGATGTATACATGTATACAGTGAGAAAAACGAATCTTGCAAGTTTACCAGAGGGATGGCATAGGGCAGAGGTGGGTTTCAGCAGGTTCTGACCAGTTCTAGAGAACCGGTAGCGGAAATTTTTAGTAGTTCAAAGAACCAGTAAATACCACCTCTGACTGGCCCCACCCCCATCTATTCTCTGCCTCCCGAGTCCCAGCTGATCGGGAGGAAATGGGGATTTTGCAGTATCCTTCCCCTGGAGTGGGGTGGAAATGGAGATTTTGCAGTATCCTTCCCCTGCCATGCCCACCAAGCCACACCCACAGAACTGGTAGTAAAACATTTGAATTTCACCACTGCTTCAAACCTGTAGAAATGTTGAGATTAACAGATTAGCAGATTTAGAAGGGACCTTGTAGGTCTCCTAGTCCAACCCCACCCACCCCTGCCCAAGCACCATTTCTGACAGATGGAATCCAGTCTCTTCTTGAAAGCCTCCAGTGATGAAGCTCCCACAACTTCTGTGTTCCATGGGTTGATTGTTCTCACTGTCAGAAAATTTCTCCTTCTTTCCAGCTTGAATCTCTCCTTGATCAGTTTCCATCCGTTATTCCTTGTCTGGCCTTCAGGTGCTTTGGAAAATAGCTTGACCTCCTCGTCTCTGTGGCAGCCCCTCAGATATTGGAAGACTGCTATCATGTCTCCCCTGGTCCTTCTCTTCACTAGACCAGCCATGCCCAGTTCATGTAACCGTTCATCGTATGTTTTAATCTCCAGTCTCCTAATCATCCTGGTTGCTCTTCTCTGCACTTTTTCTAGAGTCTCCACACCTTTTTTATAGTGTGGTGACCAAAACTGGATGCAGTACTCTAGGTGTGGTCTTACTAAGGCTTTATAGAGTGGTGTTAGTACCTCCCTTGATCTTGATTGTATCCCCATGTTAATGCAGCTAAGGATTGCATTGGCTTTTTTGGCTGCTGCTTCACACTGTTGGCTCATATTTAACTGGTTGTCCACTAAGACTCCAAGATCCCTCTCACAGTTACTGCTCTTAAGCCTGCCACGAGATTATCTTTACAAGCTTTTTTTGCTCGAGCGTTTATTTTTAGAGGCAAAGTGGATGTGGAATCTGAAAAAGCAGATTTCTTCTGCTTCATAACACACGCTCTCTTCCAATTTGCTTGGCATCAAATTGTTGTTTATTTTATAAAATGACACCGGGTCATTTTAACCTGGAAATTTAATTGGGTAACCGTGGTGATGTTCTTTTTTTTTTTTTTAAATTTGATTTATATGCCGCCCTTCTCCGGAGACTCAGAGCGGCTTACAGTGCGTTAAGCAACAGCCTTCATACTTTTGTATATTTTATACAAAGTCAGCTTATTGCCCCCACAAACTGGGTCCTCAATTTACCTACCTTAGAAAGGATGGAAGGCTGAGTCAACCTTGAGCCTGGTGAGATTCGAACTTACAGTAATTGCAGGCAGCTGGAGTTAAATTACAATGCATTAGTCTGCTGAGCTATCCAGGCTCCTGTTCTTGGCCTATGGACTTTTCTGGCTGCTTCTGCTTATCTTTCTACTGATTTTGCCATTTTTGAAGTGTCCTGACTTTTTATTAGCTTGCGTTTGGCGATCATTATCTGTGACCTCCCTTGCAAACCGATCCCGTCTATCCGTTTGGGGAATTCTCTGCTCTTTCTACCCAGGACAGCTCAGGGGTGGGGAGATGTATTTTGAGTCTCCCTTCCTGAAATCCAGAGTCACAAAGTAGGTTTGGAAACAGAAGAAGTATCTATAGAATAGTGCAAGGCGAAGAAGGTTTAAGTGAGAAATAAAAAACGGGTGACGTTGAAAGAATTCTAAGGGGAAAAGGGAAATGTAAGGGAAGACAAAAGCAGGCTACAAGGAGGCTTCCAGATGAAATCAATACAGCCAGCTGAGCAAAACTCCCCATTGAGCTGCTGAATCCACTCTTGAACTGCAGCAGATATTCACTGCAGAGAGGAGAGGGGGGGAGAGGGAACATCTGGGCCTCCTGTGTGGATGCTTACAAGCAGAAGGTCCAGATGTTCTCTCTCCATCATCCTTTCTGCAGTTCACAAGCAGACTGTTGTTTCCTTCCTTCCTTCCTGTCTATCTTTCTTTCCTTCCTTCCTCCCTTCTTTCCTTCTTTCCTGTCTTTCTTTCCTGTCTTTCTTTCTTTCCTTCCTTCCTTCTTTCCTGTCTTTCTTTTCTTCTTTCTTGTCTTTTGTCAGCTTGACATCTTTCTTTCCTTCCTTCCTTCTTTCCTTCCTTTCCTTCCTTCTTTCTTTCCCTCTTTCCTGTCTTTCCTTCCTTCTTTCTTTCCTGTCTTTCTTTCCTTCCTTCCTTCCTTCCTTTCCTGTCTTTCTTTCTTTCCTTTCTTCCTTCTTTCTTTCCTTCTTTCCTGTCTTTCTTTCCTGTCTTTCTTTCCTATCTGTCTTTCTTTCTTTCCTTCCTTCCTTCTTTCCTTCTTTCCTGTCTTTCTTTCCTGTCTTTCTTTTCTTCTTTCTTGTCTTTTGTCAGCTTGACATCTTTCTTTCCTTCCTTCCTTCTTTCCTTCCTTTCCATCCTTCTTTCTTTCCTTCTTTCCTGTCTTTCTTTCCTTCCTTCCTTCTTTCTTTCCCTCTTTCCTGTCTTTCCTTCCTTCTTTCTTTCCTGTCTTTCTTTCCTTCCTTCCTTCCTTTCCTGTCTTCTTTCTTTCCTTCTTTCCTGTCTTTCTTTCCTGTCTTTCTTTCCTATCTGTCTTTCTTTCTTTCCTTCCTTCCTTCTTTCCTTCTTTCCTGTCTTTCTTTTCTTCTTTCTTGTCTTTTGTCAGCTTGACATCTTTCTTTCCTTCCTTCCTTCTTTCCTTCCTTTCCTTCCTTCTTTCCTTCTTTCCTGTCTTTCTTTCCTTCCTTCCTTCCTTCTTTCCTGTCTTTCCTTCCTTCTTTCTTTCCTTCTTTCCTGTCTTTCTTTCCTTCCTTCCTTCCTTCCCTTCCTTCCTTCCTGTCTTTCTTTTCTTCTTCTTTCTTTCTTCTTTCTTTCCTTCTTCCTTCCTTCCTTTCTTCCTTCCTTTCTGGTTCTTTACTGTTACAGCCACAACTGGATTCTTAAACTGAATTCAGCAACTGCTGTAATTATCTTGGAAATTGGACCACAATAAATCCATTTCCCATTTCCACCACTACTATTTCTTAAACTTGACTGAAGGAAGGGAGGGAGGGAAGGAGGGAGAGAGAGAAAGAGAGAAAAAGAGAAAGGAAGAAAGAAAGAGAAAGGAAGAAGAAAGAAGAAAGAAAAAAGAAAAGAAGGAAGGAAGGAAGGAAGGAAGGAAGGGAAAAAAAGGTATATCTTGTGATTTTGCATATCCCATTTCAATATTCCTTTCGATCATTTTTAACTTCTTCCCACTTGCCCTTTCCGACCAAATTCCAGAAGGAAGTCCGCTGCTCTCCAGCCCTCCGGAGGATCAGGAGGCGGGGTCATTGTTATGGAATTACTCCTCTTTTTTGGCAGGTCTTGTCTGTATACCTGGACTACATGGTGGAGCTGGCAATGCTGTTGGGAGGAGCCCGAAGCTCAGTGGAAGAGCTGATGGGGCAGGTGCTGCAACTGGAGACCGAATTGGCCAACATCACCGTCCCCCAAGATGAACGGCGAGACGATGAGAAGATTTACCACAAGATGACAATTGCTGAGTTGCAGGTGGGCCTTGCCTGGAGAAGGGCAGGAGGGGGCAGCTGGCAGAGAGGGCTTGAATCAGCCTTTAATTTAGGCTGAAACACAACGGAACAGAAAGGAAACGTAGACTTTTTTTCAATGCCGTTGTAACTTTCAGGGAGTCAGGGAACACCTCTATGTAATGTTGGAAGAAATATCCTTCCGGGTTCAGTTCCAAGTGGGGAAAAAGACACTGGGTTCATGGAAGTTGCTTGGAAAGAAGGTTTATTGATGAACAGGATCACATGGCTTGGAGATCTTGGGTGGAAAAAAGGGCAGAGATGCTGAGAGTGCCTGGGTTTTATATCCTCTGTTGGGCTTTGAATCTGAGCTTGTGTTCCGATTGGTTGTCAGACTCCCATGGGGCCATGCAGGGGTAACTTTGTAGGTTGTCTATGTCCCAGGCTTGGTTGACTCTTGCTGGGTGATGATGTAATGAAAGGGCTTTGGGCAATTCGTACTATGGCTCTGCCTGAAGGAGGTAGATCTTTCTTATGTAGAATAGACTGGCCCAGGCCTTCATGGCCCATTGACAAAGGGGCTGCGTTTCTGCCTCCCTTTTAGGGGAAATATTCTGCCCTTTTAATATTTCCTAAAATATCTCCTTTTCCTAGGGGAGGGGTGGGTGCTAACTTCCTACAGTAAGAAATGCATTGGAAATTGCACACATTTGGAATTGGATTCAGTTGGGCTCCAACTGGATCCCCAGATGGGAGAAAAAAATTGAATTGCTGGTTCTGGGGAGAGAGAACCCCAAAGTGTAATGGTAGATTTTTTTGGGTTTAAAACATGGTCATTCATTGACATTCCCCCCCACACACACACACCTTATTCCTTTGCTCTGGACCTTCAGTTTACACCCTTTGCCCCCCACCCCCCTTTCTGTCTTTTTGCAACCTCGTAAACCAGGGATATTGGGCGTTTTGTTATATAATCTGTCTTTTGATTAGGATGCAGTTCATGTTGCCACAACTCTCTGGATGAAAAGCCCAGCAGCTTTGCTGATCTGAATCCCAATCAGCTGCTCAGCCTCCTTAAAGCGCAATTTCGCTTTAACTTCCCTCCTGGAGTGTTGTGCCCGCATCCGTGCTGAGGTCACACTTTTCGCAGGGATGCATACAAAGGGGCAAAGAAACCCCCAAAGACAAACGTCACACTTCTGAGATTCTCTGCAAGTGGTGCCCTGTTTTGGGATGGGGTGTGTGTGTGTGTCTCCCTTTCCAATTGGGACAGAGGGAAGAGCTGTTAAAGCATTTTGGGGTGAGTGGTCCCTTGCTGGGGATGGCTTAATGCAGTGTGTCTCAAACTTGGCAACTTTAAGAACTGTGGACTTCAACCTGTGGAGCTAACCAGTGTGCGGCGGCAGCCGGAAAAGCCAATGCAATCCTAAATTGCATTAACGGAGGGATGCAATCAAGATCAAGGGAGGTACTGATACCATTCTATCAAGCCTTAGTAAGATCACACCTAGAGTACTGCATCCAGTTTTGGTCACCACACTATAAAAAAGATGTTGAGACTCTAGAAAGAGTGCAGAGAAGAGCAACCAGGATGATTAGAGGACTGGAGGCTAAAACATACGATGAACGGTTGCAGGAACTGGGCATGGCTGGTCTAGCGAAGAGAAGGAACAGGGGAGACATGATAGCCGTCTTCCCATATTTGAGGGGCTGCCAGAGAGGAGGGGGTCAAGCTATTCTCCAAAGCACCTGAAGGCCAGACAAGGAATAATGGATGGAAACTGACCAAGGAGAGATTCAACCTAGAAATGAGGAGGAACTTTCTGACAGTGAGAACAATCAACCCATGGAACAGAAGTTGCCTTTGGACGTTGTGGGAGCTTCATCACTCGAGGCTTTCAAGAAGAGACTGGACTGCCATCTGTCAGAAATGGTGTAGGGTCTCCTGCTTGGGTGGGGGGTTAGACTAGATGGCCTACAAGGAACCAGTTGCCAAGCATACAAATTTTGATCATGTGACCATAGGGATGCTACAATGGTCTTATGTGTGAAATAAATTCATAAGTCACTTTTTTCAGTGCCATAACTTTGAATGGTCACTGAATGAATGGTTGTAAGTCAAGGACTAACTGTACTGATATTATTTTGATTTATGTAGCTCCCCATCACAGATTCATGACTATGGGCAGCCAATTTACACATTCAATGAGCCTTGGTGGCTCACTTTAAAATAAGCTGGATATATGGAGTCTTTGGTGCTTTCTGACCTTGGTGGCAATTCTCCACCAAGCACTGATGATGTTATCTAGTTGGGTAATGAAATGTCTGCAAGAAAACCACCAAATTCAGAGAGCACCGAAGACCCACCGTTCAACCCTGAGCTACACGTATTCTCTTCTGTTGATAAACACGGTGTTTTATGGCTCCTTCCTTGAAATGTTTAGCAGATGGGATATCTGCTATTATTCTGTTTTTAATAGTTAATTTTATTGATTAAATTGCATACCGCCCACAGCCCTGTCTGAGAGAGATGGCTGGTTAAGAAGGATAGATAGATAGATAGATAGATAGATAGATAGATAGATAGATAGATAGAAAGATAGATACCGGTACATACATACTACATACATACATACATACATACATACATACACAGACAGACACACAGAAGACAGAGAGAGAGAGAGAGAGAGAGAGAGACAGATAGAGATATGACAGACAGACAGACAGAAATAGATAGATAGACAGACAGACAGACAGACAGACAGACAGACAGACAGACAGACAGACAGACAGATAGATAGATAGATAGATAGATAGATAGATAGATAGATAGATAGATACCGGTACATACATACATGCATATGACAGACAGACACACACAGAGAGAGGGAGAGAAAAACTGACAGATAGACAGAAATGAGACAGACAGACAGAAATAGATACTGATAGATAGATAGATAGATAGATAGAAGATAGATAGATACCAGTACATACATACATACGACAGAGAGATACCCTGAGACCGAGAGAGAAAACAGAGAGAGAGACAGACAGAGACAGAGACAGAGACAGAGAGAAGACTGACAGATAGAGATAGATAGACAGACAGACAGACAGAAATAGATACCGATAGATAGATGATAGATAGATAGATGATAGATAGATAGATAGATAGATAGATAGATAGATAGATAGATAGATAGATAGATAGATACGGACGAGAGAGAGGGGGAGAGAGAGAAAGAGAGAGAGATGGGGGGGAGTGAACCAAGCAGACCCCTCCCAAATGGTGGTCATTTCGGGACCCAAGACTGTGTAGTAAAACTGCTTTTCCGGAGAACACCAATTCTCTCTTCGACCTTTCAGCCGCTACTTGAAAAACGAGATCCTAAAGCCTTTTGCATCGGTTTAATACACTTTAATCCATATGATTTATGTTTTGAGCTAAATCAGATCACCCAGCAGCACATTAGGCCTCCGTTATCCTCTACCCACCCACCCACCTCCGTGCCTCTTTCAAATCTAGTTCATCCACACCCCACCACTGGCTTATTATACCGTATGCATAACTAGGTCACTGGAAGACCGGTTGCATCCACGCAACCTTCTACCCTGTGTTAAGTCTTTCAGAGCGTGACATGGGGAGATCCGACTCCCTGGCTTAGTTGAGAGGTCTAAGTGTTATTTTGTTGGACCCAGAAAATTAGGTTAATTCGGTAACCAAGGCGCGGTGCCAATCCACCTATCCAGTTCTTTGTTTAACTGTTTTATTTTGCATCGCTCGAGCACCGTTGCCAGTAGACGGTTCCCATAATTTCGCCTGTCCCGATTGGTCTGGTTTCCATCACGCCTGTTTGCTTCTCTGCTTTCAACGCCTGCCAGTTACAAGGAGGGAGCCGGCTTTCTTCCTCACTCATGGGTTGCCAAGCAACCTGCCACCATGGTAACCGGGAGACAAGTAAAATCCTATGTATTGAGTAGCAGTGATACTACTGGATGGGTGATTGACTCCTTGTGGGGGGGAAAGGAGTGGGGAGGGGAAGGAGGAAACTTTGCATGAAGGCAGAGCTGTTAACCGGGGACAGGAACGAGAGAAAAATTAAAATTAAAAGGAGAAAATGAAAGGAGTCTATGCCGGAGCTTATCTTTGGAGCTGGGGCAATAGTTGAGCCGAGAATATTAAACAAAGTGACAGTATGCAGAATTGATGTGCCACCACCCTGAATACAATATCTTTCCTTTTCTTAATAATGAATCATAACGCTGCCTAAGAGCGAGTGAAGCATTTTCTTTTTTGTTCTCCAGAAGTCTTCATTAGGAAAATGCCCATTAAATAAAGCCAATGGCAGGGAAAGGAAGAACGTCATAAAATGTTGGAACCAGAATTAAAACTGCATTTAGTTATAAGTGGAAATTACAGACTAGGCTTGTATTCCCAAACTGGATGCTCTCAGGTTGAAAGAATAGAATAACAAGAGTTGTAAGGGACCTTGGAGGTCTTCGATGTTCTGTCCCCGTCTCACACACGCACACAAACAGACAGCCGGGGGTTAAATAAACTGGCAGACAACCAATTCTTCCGATAAGACGCTTGGCAGCAACCCAGTAGCTGCTTGCCAAGAACTTTTACTCAATAAACAAAATACACACAGTCAAGAATTGTCCATTTCATAAAATAAATCCAAGGCCGATAATGTTATTTCGAAAGATGCAATGTGACTCGATAGTAGTTAGTTTTGTCCGTCACAGAGTCTGAATGGCCACCTCACCCCCTTTTATACCCTGTGGGGTGTGGTCCAGTGACTCAGCCTAATCTCGAGCATGCCTTTTCTTCTGTTGGGCGCGCTTATCTCTGCGACGCTGCCGAGGATCCAGCCAAGACTCATTTCCCTCATCACTGTCCACCTGTGGCTGCGTGGACGTGCTTGGCCCCAGCCCTATCTCTTGCCCTTCGGCGGACACCGAAGGCATTGCCAGAGAGGAGGGTCCTGGAGAGGGAGGCCTTGCCAACTCCTCTCCTTCACTCTCGGAGTCCTCTCCTGCCGATGATACAGGCTCAGGTAACGGAGCCACAACATTCTAGTCCAACCCTCTGCTTAGGCAGGATACCCTACACCACTTCAGACAAATGGTTCTCCAACATCTTCTTAAAAACAGTGTTTTACAGTGGAACAATGGAACAGTATTCCAGTGTTGGAGCATTCACAAATTCTGGAGACAAGTTGTTCCACTGATTAATTGTTCTAACTGTCAGGACATTTCTCCTTAATTCTAAGTTGCTTCTCTCCAAAGCTGGCTGAGGAACTCTGGGAGTTGAAGTCCACAAGTCTTAAAGGAGCCAAGGTTGAAGACTCCTGTTCTAAAGAACATTCAGGGTTGATTTCCTTTAGGATTGACAGATTGGATCTCCTCGCAGTCCAGGGGGCTCCCAAGAGTCTTCTCCAGCATCACAATGTGAAAACATCAATTATTCAGCTTTCCCTGTGGTCCAACTCTCCCAGCCATAAATCATTACTAGGAAAAACCATAGCTTTGACTATAAGGACCTTTGTCGGCAAGGTGTGCCTTTAGTTGGAGAGAATTCTAAATTGCACAGGGTTTCTACCATTCTGTCATCAGTCTTCTCTTTTTTGTCATACATGCCAAGGAAAGAGAGAGAGGGAGAAGGAGGGATATGGGAAGATGGATGGATGGATGGATGGATGGATGGATGGATGAACGAATGAATGTCCCAAAGGTGCTTTTTCAGGAGGCAACTGGACTTACTTTCCTTTTCTTTCTTTCTTTCTTTCTTTCTTTCTTTCTTTCTTTCTTTCTTTCTTCTCTCTCTCTCTCTCTCTCTCTCTTTCTTTTTTGCTTCTCATCCAAAAAGCCCCACAGGATAAGTGGGGACTGGAAGTATTCGATCCTGTCAGAGTTGAAAAAGCTTCTTGAATATGTTGGAAGAAATGTCCACCTGGGTTCAATTCCAAGTGGGAGAAAGACACTGGAAACATGGAGACTGCTTGGAAAAATGGTTTAATGGTGGACAGGACCACATGGGTCTTTTGGGTCCTGGGCAAAATGAGCACATAGGTGAGAGAGGGAGAGAGATTTATACCTTCTCTTGGGCCCAGCCTTAGAGCTTCCTGTTCCTGTGAGAGAAATGTATTCGGATTGGTTGTCAGACTCTCATGGGGCCATGCAGGGGCAACTTTGTAGGTTGTCTTGAGTCTCAAGCTTGGTTGAATCTTGCTGGGTGATGTAATCTTCCCAGTGCCATGTGGTAATGAGGGGAAGAGGGCTAATCCTATTATGTACTGAGGGTGAAGGTCTTTTATGGTCTAGATAAGCTGGCCCAGCCTTTTGTCTTGTAGATAGGATGGCCCAGTCTTTCAGGGGCTATTAACAAAGGTGGGGGCTGCTTTTCAAGAGCGTGTATCTCCTTTTCTCATCCAAGGAGGTATAATATTCTGCGTTTTTAATATTTCCTAGAATATTTCATTCTTCTAGGAGAAGGGTAACTTTCTACAGAGGAGAAGCAAAACGTCATCAAAAGAAAAAACAAGAAAGTCCAGTTGCCTCCTGAAAAAGTGTCGTTGGAACAATCATGATCTGGATGATGGAGAAACTCTACAGACGAACGAATGAATGAATGAATGAATGAATTTATTAAGCTGTGAATCTCTTCATGTCTTCTCCAGGTTCTTGCCCCTGCTGTTGAGTGGCTGGACTTCATCTCATACTTTCTCGCACCACTCGAACTAACAGATGCTGAGCCCGTGGTGGTCTATGGGAAGGAGTATTTGGAGCAGGTGTCACAGCTCATCAATAACACTGACAAAAGGTATCAGAAGAGACATTCCATCCATCCATTTATGACTGGGACAATGCACATTCCAAGCTTCCTGCAATTCTGGATGGAGTCCATCTTTGGACATTGAAAAGGAAGCGTTCTTCCATGTATGGCACGAAGATGGAGAACTTGGGTTGTGTAGTGCAGTGTTTCTCAACCTTGGCAACTTTAAGATGGGTGGACTTCAACTCATGGCTGGTTGGGGAATTCTGGGAGTTGAAGTCCACCCGTCTTAAAGTTGCCAGGGTTGAGAAATGTTAGTCTGGATGCCGCTGAATGGGAGCTCTCCATTGAGCCAGTTAGCATCACCAGTGGTGGGAGAAGCTGAGCATCTGGAGGGCCACCACATTCCTAAATTATTAAATCTGTAGGTAATGCTAGTTAAAAATTCAAAGTTTAAAAAGGCATTAGAATATCCAAAACTCATGTTTTTCTTCAATCATTTATACTCTTATTTCTTAATCAAATTGTTTATATATTTATATGAGAATAATAATAGGAAAAAAAGGAGAAAGTAATAGCAATAATAATAATAATTACAATAAAAGAAATACAAAAAAATAAGGCAAAGAGAAAAAGGAAAAAGGAAGAGAGTAGAAATATAACAAAAGAAGTCAAATGGATTAAAAAAGAAAATAGAGAGGGGAAAAGAAACAAAGAGAAAGATACTAAAAGAAAGAAATAGAAAGGGGGAGAGCATAGAGAAGAAGAAGAAGAAGAAGAAGAAGAAGAAGAAGAAGAAGAAGAAGAAAAGTATCTCCTAGCATTTTAAATTCGGGGGTTTTATAAACTGGGCCTATTATTTAATAATTTTAATTATTTTTAAATTTTGTCCGTCTTTGTGTTTTTAATTAGGCTGTACACCGCCCTGAGTCCTTCGGGAGAAGGGCGGTATAGAAATAAAATTAATAAATAAATAAAATAAATAAATTTGGCTGAAGCCCAGCTGCAGCAGGACAGCCCTAAGGCTTCAGGTGGGGGGGGAAATGCAGCTGTAGGCAGTCAGCGATGAGGAAGAGGAACCGCCTTCTGCACCTGATCCCAGAACACATAGGGCAGAGAAAAGGCAGGAGCAGTGAAGGTCAGCCAGATTACTTGCAAGGAGGCAGCCCATTCCTATAATACTGAGAGCTATTCCGTTTAAGTAATGCATGGACCACCGCCTCACCAAACACCAACACCAGTCAACTCCACTGTTCTGCAGAGGAGCAACAAGGAGAGAGCTGGGCAGCTTTGATCTGCTCTTTCTGAGCTTAGATGCCTTTGGTAGGCCATCTTGAGACAGAATGTTGACTGGCTGGGCCTAGGCCTGGTCTAGCACAGTGAGTCCTCATGTTGTTGGAAAGGTGCGATGAGGCAAACGATTCAATTTTTGAGGCTTGGCATTTCTTCTCACCAACATCTATGGAGGTTCTCAAGTCATCTAGGTCATGATTGGTCCCAAAGGTGCTTTTTCAAAAGGCAACTGGACTTCCTTTGTTTTTTGTTTAAAGACATTTCGCTTCTCATCCAAGAAGCTTCTTCAGTTCTGACCGAATGGTGGAGGATGGAAAGATTTATATTCTTTGCAGTCCTCCGGTCGTTAGCACTCTTTCTGAGAGTTGTTCAGGCCACGTAGAGGTTTATCTGTGCCCTCAGGGTCACCTGAATCGTGCGAATGAGGTGAGGAACCTTCTTGGAGCTGCTGAAAGGATTTTTTTTTTCCCTTGAAAATGTTTCACTTCTCATCCAAGAAGCTTCTTCAGTTCTGACCGAATGGTGGAGGATGGAAAGATTTATATTCCTTGCAGTCCTCCGGTCGTTAGCACTCTTTCTGAGAGTTGTTCAGGCCACGTAGATGTTTATCTGTGCCCTCAGGGTCACCTGAATCGTGCGAATCGGGTGAGGAACCTTCTTGGAACTGCTGAAAGGATTTTTTTTTTCCCTTGAAAATGTTTCACTTCTCATCCAAGAAGCTTCTTCAGTCCTAACTGAATTGAGTTTTCTTCTCTTCCTGCAATTTTTAGCTTCTGGGCAACTTAAGCAATGTTTTCAATGAGTTGGCCAGACTTTATTTAAAAACGGGAGTCTTGAGATACCACCCGTTGTCTGTGTGGGATGGAACATGAGGGGGTTTGAAGCAGACAGATGCCAGGTACCCTGATCAAATATAGGCCTCGAGATTAGCCTGTCCTTACACAACTTTACACCTTCTAAGTAAGCCGTTGTGGAGGCCGGAGTGATCATTTATCTGTTCGTGTCCTTTCTTTTTAGTGTTTTGAACAATTACATGATTTGGAATCTGATCCAGAAAACAGCTTCCAGTCTTGATCAGCGGTTTGAAACGGCCCAGGAGAAGCTGTTGGAGACGTTGTATGGTACCAAGAAGGTAAGCAGATGCTTTAGATCAGCGATTGCCAACATTGGCAGCTTTAAGTTGGGTGGACTCAACTCCCAGAATGCCGCAGCCAGCCTTGGGAACTCAGTATTGGGAACTCAGCAGTATTTCCCAACCTTGGCAACTTTAAGACTTGTGGACTTCAACGCCCAGAATTCCTCAGCTAGCCATTCTGGCTGGGGAATTCTGGGAGTTGAAGTCCATCTTTATCTTAAAGCTGCCAAGGTTGGGAAACACTGCTTTAGAGCCACGGTGGCGCAGTGGTTCAAGTGTAGTACTGCAGGCTACTTCTGCTGACTGCTGGCTGCCTGCAATTTGGCAGTTCAAATCTCCCCAGGCTCGAGGTTGACTCAGCCTTCCATCTTTCCAAGGCCGGTAAAATGAGGACCCAGATTGTTGGGGGCAATAGGCTGACTCTGTAAACTGCTTAGAAAGGGCTGTAAAGCACCGTGTGAAGCAATATATAAGTCTAAGTGCTATTGCTATTTAGAACAGGGGTCTCCAAACTTGGTAACTCTAAGACTTTGTGGACTTCAACTCCCAGAATTCCACAGCCAGCATGGAATTCTGGGAGTTGTAGTCCACAAGTCTTAAAAGTTAGAGACCCCTGCTTTAGGGGAATGAAACAGACAATTTTTTTTTTTAATTTGATTTATATGCCGCCCTTCTCCGGAGACTCAGGGCGGCTTACAATGCGCTAAGCAATAGCCTTCATTCTTTTGTATATTTTTATACAAAGTCAGCTTATTGCCCCCACAACTGGGTCCTCAATTTACCTACCTTAGAAAGGATGGAAGGCTGAGTCAACCTTGAGCCTTGGCGAGATTTGAACCTGCAGTAATTGCAGGCAGCTGGTCTTAATAACAGGGTGCCTTAGACCACTGTACTACCAAGGCTCTATTGGGGATGCCTTTTTCTGGGCAGGACCAGTAACAGCTTCCAATTTGCAAACCAGGGGAGATCTTGGTACCTGAAGTCCATTAGCTTGGTGATCTGAAAACTAACCACTTCTGACCCGAGTTGGGATCTTCTGCATACTGTGAGGAATCTTCCTTGGATGAGGATCCACCACTGTTTAGTTCAGGGGTGTCAAACTGGATTTCTTCGAGGGCCGGATCAGCATTGTAGTTCCCTTCCGTGGGCCGGCAGGGAGCGGGGCGGGAGAGACGGGACGAATGCCACTGCAGGACCCTGCCAGCCAAAATGGGGCATGGGAGGGGACTGCATGTGTCCCCTCCCCATGCCTCGTTTTCAGCCTCCCCGGCCTCCTGCAGCACTCTTCCGGCTGAAAATGGCTGCACAGAGGCCTCACAAGGCCCATTTTTGGCCAGCAGAGTGCTGCTGGAGGCCACGGAGGCCCGTTTTGGCTGGCAGAGGCACCATGGGCAGGTCCTTCACTGTTTCCAGGGTGGCCCTGCGGGCCAGATTTAAGCACCCTGCTCGCCGGATCTGGTCCACAGGTCTTGAGTTCGACACCCCTGGTTTAGTTCCTTCATAGATCATAGATCCTTAACTCAACTTGTCCTCTAAAACTCCGTGGCTTTACTTTCCCTTGGGCCTCACTCTCGTTCTTTCGTTCTCTTTTTCTGGAGTCCTGCACACCTCGCTGGCAAACGTGCATTTCTAACACGGATGACACTTTGGGTTTTGCCCTCGGGGCCCTGTTTGTAAAAGCCACGTTCGACCGGCACAGCAAGGAGATTGTGAGTATCTTCAGCCAGGTTGGTGAGATCTCACTCCTGGGTTTACTTCTCAAATAGACGTAGCCCCACCACAAATGCACAGGTTGAACGCTGCCTCCCTGCTTACGTATTTGGAAAGCAGCAGAGAAGAGGGAGGCAGCGCCAACATCAGAGAAGGGAAGGGGTAAGACTAGGGGTGAAATCCAGCAGGTTCTAACAGGTTCTGCAGAACCGGTAGTGGAAATTTTGAGCAGTTCGGAGAACCGGCAAATGCCACCTCTGGCTGGCCCCAGAGTGGGAAGGAATGAGAATTTTGCAGTATCCTTCCCCTGGAGTGGGGAGGGAATGGAGATTTTGCAATATCCTTCCCCCAAGATTGGGGAGGGAATGGGGATTTTGCAGTATCCTTCCCCTGGATTGTCCCAATTGGACAATCTCCAATTGGAGATTGTCCCCTATACCTGTGGCAAAAGGGTCATAAAATTAGATATGCCTCACTTAACGACCATCTTGCTTAGCAACAGACATTTTTGTCCTAATTGTGGTTGTGAGTCAAAGACTACCTATATCGATGTGTAGGGGATAAAATGTTCCTTTTACATCAGTAACTACGGGAGTTCAGAGGGTTCGGGAGAACCTCTAGCTAAGATTCTATGCAGTTCGTAGAAACCCCTAATCCTACTCTTGGCTGGCCCCTCCGTCCGTCCGTCCGTCCATCCATCCATCCATCCATCCATCCACCTACCTACCTACCTACCTACCTACCTACCTACGTACCTACCTATGACAAGTGTGGTACTGTAAGCTTTTGCTCCCAAGTTTTGATCACGTGATCGTGGGGATGCCTCAAAGATCGCAAGCATGAAAAAACGGTCATAAGTCACTTTTTCAGTGCCATTGTCACTTCGGTCACTAAATGAAATGTTATAAGCTGAGAACCACCTGTCTTAACTCTTTCACATCCAGATTTCTTGAGAGGGATTTTGTTTTGTTTTGTTTTGTTTTTGCTTTTCTGTGAAGGAACGATAATCAATGAATGAAAAATATACGGTAGTTGAGTGGTGGAATTCACTGCAGATGCTGTTGAGGTTTTTAAGACGAGGCTGCAATAGGGAAGATACAGCATCAAAGGTTTTAGCCTTCCTGCATTGGGCTTTGAAATGGACTGGATCAGTGTTTCTCAACTTTGGCTAATTGAAGATGTGTGGACTTCAGCTCCCAGAATTCTCCAACCAGCCACGCTGGGAGTTGTAGTCCACACGTCATCAACTTGCCAGGGTTGAGAAATACTGGACTAGATGGTCTCTAAGGGTGTAGTTCTTTGACTGCATATGAACCTCTTGTTCCTCTCCATCCTTACCTTCAGGCTGAGAACATGATCGCCGAAATCCGTGCAGCCTTTCAAGACTCACTAAACAACCTTGACTGGATGGACAAGAAGACAAAGCAAGCAGCGAAGGAGAAGGTGATTCTGATATGCATTTATGTTAGAATTTGGATACCAAATAATGGTCCTATTGTTGTGAAACATTTGTGGGATAAACTGTACCCTTTTTTAAAAAAAAAGGATTACTTCTCTGCAGGGGGTTTTGACTTGCGATCATCAGTCACAATTCTCATACCCGTATTTGCTAAATTAAAGCATTTGTCTGTCTGTCTGTCTATCTGTCAGTCTCTCCGTCTGTCTGCCTATCTGTCAGTCCATCCATCCACCCCTCCACCCATCCATCCATCCATCCATTTATCAATCAATCAATCAATCAATCAATCAATCAATCAATCAATCAATCATCTATATCATCTATCTATTTATTCATCCATCCATCCATCTTTCTTTCTATCTATCATCTATATATCCATCCATCCATCTATCTATCAATCATCTATATCATCTATTTATTCATCCATCCATCTAGCCATCATTCTTTCTATCTATCTATCTATCTATCTATCTATCTATCTATCTATCTATCTATCTATCTATCAATCAATCATCTATATCATCTATCTATTTATCCATCCATCCATCCATCCATCCATCTAGCCATCTTTCTTTCTTTCTATCATCTATCTATCCATCTATCTATCTATCTATCTATCTATCTATCTATCTATCTATCTATCTATCTATCTAATCAGTGGAACGACTTGCCTCTAGAAGTTGTGGGTGCTCCAACACGAGGTTTTTAAGAGACCGGACGGCCATTTGTCCAGAACGGTCTCCTGCTTGAGCAGTGGGTTGGACTAGAAGACCTCCAAGGTCCCTTCCAACTCTGTTATTCTGAAAGTCCTCTTCACTGGGGTTCCTTGCATTCTTGCAAATTGAGAGTTTCAGACAGTTTTTTTTTCCTTTTCTTTACTATACAGGCTGATGCCATCTATGACATGATTGGCTTCCCCGAGTTCATCCTTGACAACAAGGAGTTGGATGATGTCTATGATGGGGTAAGAACCTAGGACAGCAGCATGAAAGGCATGGAAATTGCTCAGGGCCCGGTGGTCTCAGAGAAATAAGAGAAGCTGCTCCAGTTTTTATTAGCATGATACCGGGGGTTCAAACGTTGAGTCAAATGTAGTTGGTTCAGCTTGTTGTTTCGTATACTGTGTGTGAAGCCAGGTTTTGTGGTTTGTTCACTGTCGCATGGCTTAATGGTAATTTTGCACAACATGGACTAAAATGGCTTGGAGATAATTTGTGGGATCCCTGTGTTGTAAGAAACCAGCTATTGCAGGGATGTCCAGTCTTGGCCACTTTAAGACGTGTGGACTTCAACTCCCAGAATTCCTTAGCCCGCATGGCATGACTGGCTATGGAATTCTGGGAGTTGAAGTCCACAGATCTTAAAGCGATCAAGGTTGGACACCCCTGAGCTATGGTTTTAGCAAGCTGCATAGACCAAGACGTCTTCCGACCAATTTCTTAAGGCCTAGGACAGTGATGGTTAACCTTCTTGGTGCTGAGTGCCCAAAGCGTGCGCGTAAATGCACGTGTGCGTGCCCAAACCCCCTACAATGCAATGCGAGCACCCCCCACTCATGCGCCCCACTCCCACGCATGCATGCGCATCCCCTGCGCATACGCCCCGTGCCCCCCTGTGCCCCATTTTGGCTTCCAGGTTGGTGCAGGAGGCTTTCCAGGGCTTCCGTGCCCTGTTTTAGGCCTGGAAAGCCTAAAGAAGACTTTCCAGGCCCAAAATGGGGCACGGAGGGGGCCACATGCAGCCCCTCTCCATCCCATTTTGGCTTCCAGGTTGGTTCAGGAGGCTTTCCAGGCCTAAAACGGGGCATGGGAGTTCTGGAAAGTCTCCTGCATCAACCTGGAAGCCAAAATGGGGCGGGGAGGGGCTGCATGTGGCCCCCAGTGCCCCATTTTGGGCCTGGAAAGTCTCCTGCACCAACCTGGAAGCCAAAATGGGGCGTGGAGGGGCTGCATGTGGCCCCCCGTGCCCCGTTTTGGGCCTGGAAAATCTTCTGCACAACCTGGAAGCCAAAATGGGGCGGGGAGGGGCTGCATGTGGCCCCCCGTGCCCCGTTTTGGGCCTGGAAAATCTTCTGCACCAACCTGGAAGCCAAAATGGGGCGGGGAGGGGCTGCATGTGCCCCCCCCCCCGTGCCCCGTTTTGGGCCTGGAAAATCTTCTGCACCAACCTTGAAGCCAAAACGGGACACAGGGGCACGGGGCGAGGCCCCCGTGCCCTGCTTTGGTGCTGGATAGCCTCTTACCACCACCCCCGCACATGTGCCTCACCCCCCTGCGCAAGCGCACATCCCCTACATGCGTTCCACCCCCACGCATGCGCGGCAGAGACCCAAAGACCAGCTGGCCGGTGGGAGGCACACACACATGCGACGGGGAGCTGGGCTGGGCGACAGCTGGCGTGCCCCCAGAGAGGGTTCTGCGTGGCACCTGTGGCATGTGTGCCATAGGTTCGCCATCACGGGCCTAGGATGATATGTGAATAATTTGTGCTTTTTTTTTCTTCAGATTGTATTTCTTAGAAATGCTAGACTTTCTGCATTAAAGGCAGATTATTGAGCAATGCGGTTTCCCTCTTGTAAGACTGAAACGGTTTCTTCTTCTTCTTCTTCTTTCCAGTATGAGGTCTCGGAAGACTCTTTCTTTCAGAACATGTTGAATTTCTACAACTTCTCTGCCAGGTTTATGGCAGACCAACTGAGGAAGCCTCCAAACCGGGACCAGTAAGGATCCCCTTTTTCCCAGTCATGGCATAAGATAGGGTTCAGGAGTGAGGATGAAGGAATGCCCTCGATTTGACACAACGGTGCAAGAGGAAGGGGTAGACAATCCGTAGGCCAAAATCCAACACAAAAAGTCAATAGCAAAAAAAGCCCAAAATCCATCAGAGAAAGTCAGGATTCAGAAAAATAAAAAGTTCTAGAATCTGTGTTAAGATTCAGAGGATTAGGCACCAAAGCATGAATCAAGTTCTGGCACAGGTTAGTTAGTTAGTTAGTTAGTTAGTTAGTTAGTTAGTTAGTTAGTTAGTTCAATGAATCAAAAAGGAATTGGGTATGGGTAGTCTAGAGAGAAGAAGGACTAGTGGGGACATGATAGCAGTATTCCAGTATTTGAGGGGCTGCCACAAAGAAGAGGGGGTCAAGCTATTTTCCAAAGCACTTGAAGGCGGGACAAGAAGGAATGGATGGAAACTAATCAAGGAGAGAAGCAACCTGGAATTAAGGAGAAACTTCCCAACAGTGGGGACAATTAACCAGTGGAACAGCTTGCCACCAGAAGTTGTGGGGGGCTCCATCACTGGAGGTTTTTAAGACGAGACTGCACAGCCACTTGCCTGAAATAGTACAGGATCTCCTGTTTCAGCAGGTTGTTGGACCAAGGTCCCTTCCGATTTATATTCTGTCCAGTTCACAATCCAAATTACTACGTTACTGAGATTAGTTGTTTGTTTGTTTGTTGTTTGTTTATTTAACTGTGAGTTCTAGTCCCGCCTTAGGCATGAGAGCCGCTTGGATGAATTTGGGCCTGTCACTCTCTTTGAGCCCACCCCACCCACAGAGGTGTTGTTATGGGGAAGGGACAAGGAGGAAAGGGTATTAGGTAGGTTCAGCATCTTAAATTATCTGTAAAGTAATAAAGACGCGATTAAAAAATCTAATAAATAAACAAATAAAAATAACGCATGTAGAAAGTTAGCAGACACCATTGGGAGCTTAACCCCTTTTTAAGAGACAAATGATGAGGGGGTTTGGTGCAGGGGTGAAATGCTTCCGGTTCGGACCGGATCACTCGATCCGGTAGCGATGGCAGCAGGTAGTTCGGAGAACTGGTAACAAAAATCCCTGCGCGCCCCCCCCCAATGCCCAGCTGAGTCGCGCGATCATCAGAGGCTTTTTTTTTTTTACTTTTAAAAGCATTTTTTCTACAACCTCTACAAATGAAAAAATGCTTTTAAAAGTAAAAAAAAAAAGCTTCTGAAGATTGTGCAGCTCAGCTGGGATCATCAGAGGCTTTTCAAAGCATTTTTTTCTGCAACCTCTTGGCCAAAGAGGTGGTTAAAAAAAATGCTTTGAAAAGTCTCTGACGATTCCCAGCTGAGTTGCCTGATCGGCAGAGGCTTTTCAAAGCATTAGAAAAAATGCTTTGAAAAGTTAAAAAAAAATGCCTCTGATGATCGCGTGGCTCAGCTGGGATCGTCAGAGGCTTTTCAAAGCATTTTTTTCTGCAACCTCTTGGCCGAAGAGGCGGTAAAAAAAAATGCTTTGAAAAGTCTCTGACGATCCCAGCTGAGCTGCCTGATCGGCAGAGAGGCTTTTCAAAGCATTAGAAAAAATGCTTTGAAAAGTTTTTTTTTTTTAAAGTTGGCCACGCCCACCCAGTCACATTAACCCCCCCCCCCACCAAGCCACACCCACAGAACCGGTAGTAACAAATTTTACATTTCACCCCTGGTTGGTGTGTCCCTTCTCAGCAAGAACGAGACCAGGCTTTTAAAGTAGGACTAGCCAGAAAGAGTGGCATTAAGGCGTCCTCCAGAAAGGACCACTTCACAGTTTTGTGCTAGGCATACCTGTGCCTAAACAGGGCCAGCTCTGCCCCCAAATAGTTGACGTTTTGTGGTTTTTTTTTTTTCAGGTGGAGCATGACCCCCCAGACTGTCAACGCTTATTACCTGCCTACCAAGAACGGCATCGTCTTTCCCGCAGGCATCCTCCAGGCTCCGTTCTACGCTCACAATCATCCCAAGTACGTGGGGGTGCAGGGTTGATTGGTGGGAAGACGAGACTTGGGGCACGGAGGTGTTACAGGTTTGCTCAAGGAAACTGATCAAGGGGATATTCAACCTGGAAATAAGGAGGAATTTTCTGACAGTGAGAACCATCAACCCATGGAACAGGAGTTGCCTTCGGAAGTTGTGGGAGCTTCATCACTGGAAGCTTTCAAGAAGAGACTGGACTGCCATCTGTCAAAAATGGTGTAGGGTCTCCTGCTTGGGCGGGGGGTTGGACTAGATGACCTCTAAAGTCCCTTCCAACTCTGGGTTTTTTTGTTTGTTTGTTTGTTTGTTTGATTCTAGGTCTCAATGTGTTTTATTTAAAAGACTTGTCCTTTCAGCTGTCTGGGATAGTCAAAGCCTGACTTAGTGGTTCATGTGTTTTTATTTCCTTTTGTCCCTCAAGGGCCCTCAACTTCGGAGGCATCGGCGTCGTGATGGGGCATGAGCTCACCCATGCTTTTGATGATCAAGGTAACAGACAGTTTAAATATCAAACTAGGAAATATCAGAGAGCTTTTAGCTGAATGAATGTATTATGTAGGGATAGATTAATTGAGTTTTAGGAAGGTATAAGTGGTATATAGGGGGTGGAGGGGTTTAAGTTTTATAAAATGTATTTTAGATTAGGATTTTATTTTGTGGAAGTCCTGGGGGGAAAGGGGAAGGGTTAGGGAGGGTTTGGAGGGTTTGGGGAGGGGGGGGAAACTGGGAAGAAAATGTATTTGTAAAACTTTTTAAATAAAAAAAAAAAAGGTAACAGGCAGTTATTCCACCTGGGGTGTCGGTGTTTGGGATTCGCATTCACCCTGCACGGTCTTCTCTCTTTTAAGTGTGCAGCAGTAGCCAAAAAAAGCCAATGCAAATACTAGACTGCGCCGAAATGGACAGGTTAACAATGAGAATAAAGGGCAAAGAGGAATCAGAGTATTATTTAACATGGGACTTATTTTATAAGTGGATAGAAAACAGAAGCAGAAGTTAGTAGATTTATAATTAAGAACGATTAATAGAATAGAGTTAAATGTATATGTAGATCAGTGGTGGGGTGCCCCCCGGTTCTATAGAACCGGTAGTAAAACCGGAGGGAGGCTCCGCCCACCGACCCCGACGTCATCAAAACGCTTCTGTGCATGTGTGCAGCCCCGTTGCAAACCGGTAGTAAAGGTAAATAGAACCCACCCCTGATGTAGATATATATATATAAGCATAACATTATAAGCAATATTATTATTATTATTATTATTATTATTACTATTATTATTATTATTACTATTACTATTATTATTATAGGATTGTATTTGATTACAGATTAAATTATATAGAACGCCCAGGAGTGAAGAGCACATTGTAGATACAATGAAAATTATGGCTATAATTAAGATGTGTAATATTATGTGTATCCAAAAGAGATTTGATACGGACAGTACAATGTCGTTGCAGAAATGGAAATGTGATGCATAATAAAAGAAAATGTATAATAAAAAACAATATATATAAAAAAAGCCAATGCAATCCTAAATTGCATTAACAGAGGGATTTAATCAAGATCACGTGAGATGCTACTACCACTCTATAAAGCCTTAGTAAGACCACATCTGGAGTACTGCATCCAGTTTTGGTCACCACAGTATAAAAAAGATATTGTGACTCTTTTTTATACTTTGCTCAATAGTAGTAACTGTGAGAGGGATCTTAGAGTCCTAGTGGACAACCATTTAAATATGAGCCGGCAGTGTGCAGCAGCTGCCAAAAAAGCCAACACAGTTCTGGGTTGCATAAATGGAGGGATAGAATCAAGATCACGTGAAGTGTTAATAACACTTTATAATGCCTTGGTAAGGCCACACTTGGAATACCGCATTCAGTTTTGGTCGCCATGATGTAAAAAAGATGATGAGACTCTAGAAAGAGTGCAGAGAAGAGCAACAAAGATGATTAGGGGACCGGAGGCTAAACATATGAAGAACAGTTGCAGGAACTAGGTATGTATAGTTTAATGAAAAGAAGGACTAGGGGAGACATGAGAGCAGTCTTCCAATATCTCAGGGGCTGCCACAAAGAAGAGGGAGTCAAGCTATTCTCCAAAGCCCCTGAGGGCAGGACAAGAAGCAATGGGTGGAAACTAATCAAGGAGAGAAGCAACCTGGAATTAAGGAGAAATTTCCTGACAGAACAATTAATCAGTGGAACAACTTGCCTCCAGAAGTTGCAAATGCTCCAATACTGGAAATTTTTAAGAAGATGTTGGATAACCATTTGTCTGAAGTGATGTAGGGCTTCCTGCCTGGGCAGAGGGTTGGACTAGAAGACCTCCAAGGTCCCTTCCAACTCTGTTATTCTATTCTATTCTTCTCTGCTCTGCTTTAGTCTAGTCTAGTCTAGTCTAGTCTAGTCTAGTCTAGTCTAGTCTAGTCTAGAAAAATTGCAGAGAAGAACAACCAGGATGATGAGGGGACTGGAGGCTAAAACATATGATGAATGGTTGCAGGAACTGGGCATGGCTAGTCTAGTGAAGAGAAGGACCAGGGGAGACTTGATAGCAGTGTTCCAGAGTTTGAGGGGCTGCCACAGAGAGGATGGGATCAAGCTATTTTCCAAGGCACCTGAAGGCCAGACAAGGAATAATGGATGGATACTGATGAAGGAGAGATTCAACCTAGAACTAAGAATAAATTTTCTGAGAGTGAGAACAACCAACCAATGGAACAGAAGTTGCCTTCAGAAGTTGTGGGAGCTTCATCACTGGAGGCTTTCAAGAAGAGATTGGACTGCCATTTGTCAGAAATGATGTAGGGTCTCCTGCTTGGGCAGGGGGTTGGACTAGATGACCTCCAAGGTACCTTCCAACAGATTAACAATCTGTTAAAGTAGGAGGTCTTTAATAACACTTTCCCTCATGGGCCTTTAGGTCCATCACAACCACGGGAAGCTAATGAGCATGTCCATTGATCCTGTGACTTTTAAGCTTCCACTTTTTCTTCTGATGTTCTCCCTGTTCCATATCACTTCAAAACGCCTTCCCAGCAGTACTTGATGTACGACCACAATGGAGCCCAAAATTTCCATTGCTAAGCAAAACGGTTGTTAAGTGAGTTTGGCTCCATTTTGCAACCTTTCTTGCCACAGTTGTTAAGTGAGTCACTGCAGTTGTTACGTTAGTTAAGATATGGCTGGAAGAAATGATACAGCAACGTATTGATTTTAAACCAGAGCTGTTCCTACTGGGTATCCTCCCTGAAAAAAAATTAGTAAAGAAAATATTTATTTGATTATACAGGTAATAACAGCTGCAAGGATTGTTTATGCACAAAATTGGAAAGCAGAGAAAATACCCTGTGGAAGGGGAAGTAATTTTTTTAAAAAAATTAGACTGTGCAGAAATGAATAGATTGACTTTGATGATTGAAGAAAGAGAAGAGTCAGAATACTTTAAGATATGGAATCAATTTTACCATTGGGTAGAAAAGAGATACAAATAACTAAATTAATACTTATGTATAAAAAGTGTTATGATTAGAATATTGTGTTAGCGATGAACTGTTGTAATAGACTGGGCGAAAGGAAGACAGAAGAAACAACAAAAAGAAGAATTTTTGGAGACAACACCGAGATGTCACATGGAAGGAATGACTGATGTATTAAATGTTTGTTTGTCTAAAAAAATTAAAAAAAACTTTAAAAAAAACAACAACTATGACAAGAAAGGTCGTATAACAGAGCAAGTGAATAGCTGTCTCGCTTAGCATCAGAAATTGTGGGATCAGTTGTAGTCGTACATCAAGGACTGCCGGGAAAGCTTTTAGAAGTCTTATTGAATGGGGAGAACATCAAAAGAAAAAGCTTAAAAGAAGCTTAAAAGTCACAAGATCAACAGAGATACTCATTCAGCTTCCCATGGTTGTGATGGACCTAAAGGCCCATGAGGGAAGGTGTCATTAAAGATCTACTTTAATTAGATCAGTTGTGGTTGTAAGTTGAGGACTACTCTGGTCCAACAAAACAATTTTATTCCTTCCAGGACGTGAATACGACAGAGAAGGTAACCTGCGTCCTTGGTGGCAAAACTCATCCCTCGAGGCCTTCAAGAACCGGACGGAGTGCATGGAGGAACAATATAACAAATATCTTGTCAACGGAGAACATGTCAATGGCAAACAGACTTTGGGGGAGAACATTGCTGACAACGGGGGCCTGAAAGCCGCTTACAACGTGAGTAAGCTCGGGGTGAAAATTGTCCACTGTGTTAAGGATATTCTTGGCTCATAACCGATGTTGTGGGTTATTGAGCAGAGTACCCTTTGAGTAAACGCATGAAAAGTGACTGGGAGTGGTTGTGAACAATCATAGTTAACATACAAAAACACTGAGTTGTTGTAGTCTTTTACTTTTTAAAAAAAAGTAAAGCAAAGTCCAAAAACAATCCAAGTCATACACAGATAAGACGAGAGTTAAAAGATCAATCCAGGGATATTTCAAGTACAAAGTCTTCTTACCAGTTGTAGTCATACACAATAAAACAGTTCTTGAATTTCAAAACAGGAACAAGTTCAATATCAAAAATTAAATAAATAGTAGAAAGCAACATTTAGCTATGATCAAACAGTGATCATGCAGAGAGATCAGGTAGAGAGTTACAGCAAATAAGCAGGTAAAATGGTATAGTATCCACACAAGCCATGATCCTGACTTCCCTTAAGTACATTGGCTACAGAGCTTAGCCAATCAGGATACAAGATGATGCAATACAGTCTTAAAGCAATATTACCTTTCTGACTGCAAACATACATTGTTGGTTTATATATTACCTGACCAACTAGTTAGACAAATAACCATTTCCTAACCACACCCCACTGGAACACATACTGTATCACAGGGAGCAATCTGGCGAACCTCAAAACGTCTTCACCAGAGGTCCCAATTCCTGGAGGGAAGGGGCAGGATTCATACACTTCCTGAGTCTCGGAGTAGAGATGTCGTAACCTCTTGTTGGTTTTGCAGGCTTACAAAGCTTGGTTGAAGAAGAACGGGGAGGAGAAACACCTCCCTTCCGTGGGTCTTACGAGTCACCAGCTCTTCTTTTTGGGATTCGCACAGGTAAATGCCTCGGGATGTTTTTGCTCTCCCTACTGGTTGTACCCCTTTTCCTGACCAGCGTCTTAAACCTGGTGCTTCCCTGTTAACCCTTTAGCCCGGACTAAAGTTAGGACCATAGACAGGGTGGGCTTCAAAAATTTTAGCAAGGGATTCTCTGCCTGGTTGCTGGGTAGGTGTGGCCATGGTGGGCGTGGCCTAGTTGGCCTCCTGCACCACGATAGAGGGGGCGTTTTTGCCCTCCCTGGGCTCCGGAGGCTTTCCTCGAGCCTCCAGGAGGGTGAAAACGGCCTCCCCACGCTCCGGACGCCCTCTGGAGGCTGGAAATGGGCCTGTTTCCGGCCTTCCCGAACTTCCGGTAGGCCCGTTTTTCACCCTCCCTGAGCCTCTGCGCATGCCCTGCACCTACCTGCATCCAAAACGGGCCGCGTAGGGGCGGGGTGGGCGGGGTCAGCAAGAGTGGTATTTGGGGGTTCTCTGAACTGCACAGAATCTTAGCTAGAGGTTCTCCTGAACCAGAGGTGAAATCCAGCAGATTCTGACAGGTTCTGGAGAACCGGTAGTGGAAATTTTGAGTAGTTTGGAGAACCGGTAGGCGGTAATTTTGAGTAGTTCGAAGAACCGGCAAATACCACCTCTGGCTGGCCTCAGAGTGGGGTGGGAATGGAGATTTTGCAGTATCCTTCCCCCAGGAGTGGGGAGGGAATGGGGATTTTGCAGTATCTTTCCCCTGCCCTGCCCATCAAGCCACACCATGCCCACCAAGCCACGCCCACAGAACCGGTAGTAAAAAAAATTGGATTTCACCACTGTCCCGAACCCCTGAGAACCCCCCAGCTGCCTACCCCTGACCATAGATGGTGTTGATGTTATCCACCATTAAATTACTAACCACCAGGTTGCAAGAACACAAGCGAGCGATCAGACAAGGAGATCCAAACTCATTGATAGCCTCACATTGCAACGAACAAAGACATGCATTCCATTTTGCAGTTACTAAGATTGTTGGCCGAGCAGGTACAAAAATAGCCAGGGAAATGATTGAAGCCTGGGAAACAGGTACTTGTCAGTCAGCTGGAGTGCTGATTTACCACCAGCTTATCAGGGACTTAAGAGCCAACCGCTGGCCATTAACACACCGATCAACCAATAGACAGCACCAAATAAATACGATGCATAGAATAGACCAAAGCACCCATTCCAGCTTATCAGGTACTTGTAACTTCCTTCAAACAGTCACTAAATGAACGGTCACTAAGTCAAGGACTATCTAGTAGGAGTAACAAGAATCAGTGTCTTGTGGCCCAAATCTGGCTCACCTAAAGCAAACAAACCAGAATAACAGACTTGGATAATAATATCAAAATAACCTTGGAGCAGAGGTGGGTTTCAGCAGGTTCTGACCAGTTCTGGAGAACCGGTAGCGGAAACTTTGAGTAGTTCGGAGAACCGGTAGTAAAAATTCTGACTGGCCCCGCCCCCATCTATTCTCTGCCTCCTGAGTCCCAGCTGATCGGGAGGAAATGGGGATTTTGCAGTATCCTTCCCCTGGAGTGGGGAGCGAATGGAGATTTTACAGTATCCTTCCCCTGCCATGCACACCAAGCCATGCCACGCCCACGAAGCCACACCCACAGAACCAGTAGTAAAAAATTTTGAAACCCACCACTGTCTTGGAGATCTTCTAGTCCAACCATCTGCTCAGGCAGGAAACCCTACACCACTTCAGACAAATGGTTGTCCACTCTCTTCTTAAAAACTTCCAGTGTTGAAGAATTTACAACTTCTGGAGGCAAGTTGTTCCACAGATCAGTTGTTCTAACTGTCAGGAAATTTCTCCTTAGTTTACTAAATCTCTTTGAAGGCACAACACAGCTTTCTTAAGACACAAAACGCTGGGCTCCTAGCAAAGGATTGGCAGTTTGTTGGGCGGCCTTCTAATAATAACAGAGTTGGAAGGGACCTCGGAGGTCATCTAGTCCAACCCCCTGCTCACGCAGGAGACCTGTACTAGGGATTCGAACCGCCAAACTGCCGACCTTCCTGATCGACAAGCTCAGTGTCTTAGCCGCTGGGCCTCCCAGTGGCTTGAGCAAAGGCAGGACAGAGCTGATATAGGAGCCTGGATAGCTCAACAGACAGAGCACTGTAATTTAACACCAGCTGTCTGCAATTAAAAGTAAGATCGAATCTCGCCAAGGCTCAAGGTTGACTCAGCCTTCCATCCTTTCTAAGGTAGGTAAATTGAGGACCCAGTTTGTGGGGGCAATAAGCTGACTTTGTATAAATATACAAAAGTATTAAGGCTATTGCTTAACGCATTGTAAACCGCCCTGAGTCTCCGGAGAAGGGCGGCATATAAATCAAATTTAAAAAAAAAAAAATACCCTTGGCCCAATATTTGCCAAGGCAAGACAAAGAAGGCAGACACGGTGTAAATTACAGCCGGACATCAGAATGTTGTTGATGCTACATGACCTTATTATTATTTTTCCCTTCTTACTAGGTCAGCGTGACAGCTATATTAAATCTGAGATATAGTCAGCAAATAGAAACAATTGGGATTATTGGGCCATGGGTTCCTCTCTGATTCCTATCCCTGTCATCGCACAAGGTCCCTTCAGCTCACTTTGAATGTTTTCTTACAAGGGCACTTTGTGTAATTCTTGCATACGGGATGTAACTCATGGGTTTGGTAGTGAATTTAGCTGACATGTGCGTCAGTGGGTTCAAATGCTGAATGCAGCTCAATATCAACATGGGGCTACCCTTGAAAAGTGTTCGGAGACTACAGTTGGTCCAGAACGCAGCCGCGCGAGCTGTCGTGGGTGCACCTAGATACACCCACATTACACCAATTCTCCGCGAGCTGCACTGGCTCCCTATTTCTCCGGTCACAATTCAAGGTGTTGGTTATTACCTTTAAAGCCCTACATGGCTCAGGGCCAGGTTATCTTCGAGACTGCCTTCTACCGCATAGCTCCCAGCGACCGGTAAGATCCCACAGAGTTGGTCTCCTCCAGGTCCCATCAGCTAAACAATGCCGGCTGGCGGGCCCGCAGGGGAGGGCCTTCTCTGTGGCTGCCCCAGCTCTCTGGAACTAGTTATCTCCTGAGGTCTGGACCACCCCCACCCTATTGGCCTTCCGAAAAGCGGTGAAGACCTGGCTTTTCCGGCAGGCCTGGGGCCGTTGATCTCGCTCTTGCGATCTGGCGAGATCCGGCCATGAATGGCGTGAATGAGTTTTTAATGTTTTTAATTTTTAAATGTTTTTTTATAATGATTTTTTAAAATGTATTGTGAGCCGCCCTGAGTCTTCGGAGAAGGGTGGCATATAAATTGAATTAATTAAATTAAATTAAATCAAATTAAATCAAATAAGGAGAATCAGTTTGGTCTAGTTGTGAAATTACCAGGCTAGAAATCAGGAGACTGCGAGTTCTAGTTCCTCCTTAGACATGAAAGCCGGCTGGGTGACTTCGGGCCAATGACTAGGAAATTGGGAGTTCTAGTTCTGCTTTAGCCATGAAAATCAAACTGAGTGACTTCAGGACAATCACTAGGAAATTGAGAGTTCTAGTTCTGCTTTAGCCATGAAAATGAACTGGGTGACTTCAGGACAATCACTAGGAAATTGAGAGTTCTAGTTCTGCTTTAGCCATGAACATCAACTGGGTGACTTCAGGACAATGACTAGGAAATTGGGAGTTCTAGTTCTGCTTTAGCCATGAACATCAACTAGGTGACTTTGAGCCGGTCACACACACTCAGCCTAATTCACCTCACAGGGTTGTTGTTGAAGGGATAATAGGAGGAGGAAAATATATTAGATATATTTGCCATCTTGAGTTAGTTGTAAAAATAATAAAGGTGAGGAATAAATACCGTATTTTTCGGACTATAAGACGCACTCTCCCCCCCCCCCAAAGTGGGTGGAAATGTCTGTGTGTCTTATAGAGCAAAAATTGTGGCAGCGGGGAGGAGAGTTGGTATGGCACTGATCAGCTGTTCTAGGCGGCCGGGATTGCTGCCGCCGCCTATTGCCACCGCCACCCATTTGTGGCAGCAGCAAATGGCCCATGGCAGCGGTGAATGGCCTGCAGTGAACGGCCTGTGGCGGCGGCGAATGGCTGGCAGTGCCAGCAAAAGGGCCGGCGGCAAATGGTCCACAGCGGGGCAAACAGACAATGGCAAACGGGCTGCGGCGAACGGAGGCAGATTTTTTTTTCTTGTTTTCCTCCTGTAAAGCTAATGTGTGTCTTATAGTCCAGAGCGTCTTGTAGTCTGAAAAGTTAAATAAATAAATGAATCAATCAATCAATCAATCAATTTTTCAGCCACCCTGGTAAATACAGGTAGTCCTCAATTTAAGACTGTTCAGTTAGCGACTGTCCAAAGTTACAACGCATTCTGAAAATGCTATTTACCACCTTGTTTCAAAGTTCTGATGGCTGCCCCTCCCCCCCCCCCCCCCCCCCCCCCCCCCCCATGGTCTTATGACTGCCTCTTTTGAGTGCTTGGCGAGCAACCCACAATTACAGCTTTTTTTGTCATCTGTGACCGAGTAAAAACAAAAAAGACACCAGTGGTCCTTATGACAAAATAAACATGTCACAGCTTTCTGGAAGTCCCTCTAAGCAGAAACTGCCTTGTTTTCCAATAAATGTTTAATTGTCCACGATCAACAAATCTCCTGAGTAAGGAAGCAATCCCGCCCCTCAACGACCAAGGAAAGAGGTTTCACATGGAGTCTCATTAATCAGGCTTATTGCCAGCAAAAAGGGTTAGGTGGCAGTTTTACTTGAAAACAAAGCACAAAATCAACACTAGATTTAATTTATTTAATTTATTTAGTGAGTAATTAAAGAGGGGGTCTCCGTAAATTGCCTGAATGTCTTTCCCACAGATTGCTTAATTCTAGGACTGAGCCTCACTTTTTTTTTTAAATTTGATTTATATGCCGCCCTTCTCCGGAGACTCAGGGCAGCTTACAATGTGCTCAGCAATAGCCTTCATCCTTTTGTATATTTATACAAAGTCAGCTTATTGCCCCCACAATCTGGGTCCTCAATTTACCTACCTTAGAAAGGATGGAAGGCTGAGTCAACCTTGAGCCTTGGCGAGATTCGAACCTGTAGTAATTGCAGGCAACTGGTCTTAATAACCAGCTTAATAACAGGGTGCCTTAGACCACTGTACTACCAAGGCTCTTAAGGGGTAAAGTTCAAGTATCACCCTTTCCTTATTTTTCTCCTTTTTTTCTCCACCTTCCACAATTACGACCACATCGCCCAACCACAGTTGAGCCCAAAATTTCTGTTGTTAAGGGAGCTTTGTCCCATTTTACGACCTTTCTTGTTAAGTGAATCGCTGCAGAGGTTAAGTTATAGGGAGCCGGTTGTTAAGTGAACCTGGATTCCCCATGGACTTGGCTTGTCAGAAGGTTGCAAAAAGGGGATCCCGTGACCCCGGCACATTGCATAACCGTCATAAATACGAGTCAGTTGCCAAGCTCCTGAATTTTGATCATGTGACCATGGGGATGCTGCTGTTGTACAGGGCTGGTATTCACTTACCTTTGCTGCCGGTTCGCAAATGTGGGCGCGCGTGATGGCATGCACAGAGCCTTCCGTGAATGCGCAGAGCATCAAAAATGGGATGTGATGACATCCGGGCAGATGGGTGGAGCCTCCCGCAGCTGCCGCTACCAGTTTGCCCGAACTAGATAGAACCGGCTGAATAACACCACTGCTGTTGTAACTAAGAATGGTCGTTAAATGAGCTGTTGTAAGTGGAGGACTACTTGTCCATCTGTACCCCCAAATCAACTTAGATGAAATTTGGCTACGTCTAACCAAATCAAACCCGTAGTGTACGCAATGCAACTCATTTGACCTCCTCTGCTTAATAGAACAGAACAGAACAGAACAGAACAGAACAGAACAGAACAGAACAGAATAGAATAGAATAGAATTCTTTATTGGCCAAGTGTGATTGGACACACAAGGAATTTGTCTGTGGTGCATAGGCTCTCAGTGTACATAAAAGAAAAGATACATTCATCAAGAATCATAAGGTACAACACTTAATGATAGTCATAGGGTACAAATAAGCAATCAGGAAACAATGTCAATATAAATCGTAAACATACAAGCAACAAAATTACAGGCCTACAGTCGTAAGTGGGAGGAGATGGGTGATGGGAACGATGAGAAGATTAATAGTAGTGCAGACTTAGTAAATAATTTGACACTGTTGAGGGAATTATTTGTTTTTAGAGAGTGATGGCGTTCGGGAAAAAACTTCTTGTGTCTAGTTGTTTTGGTGTGCAGTGCTCTATAGCGTCGTTTTGAGGGTAGGAGTTGAAACAGTTTATGTCCAGGATAATGAGCGCTCTGCTAACCGTCTTCCTTCCCATGCAGGTGTGGTGTTCTGTGAGGACCCCGGAGAGCTCCCATGAGGGCCTGATGACGGATCCCCACAGCCCTGACAAGTTCCGGGTCATCGGCACTCTCAGCAACTCCCGGGACTTTATAGAGCACTTTGAATGCCCGATAGGCTCTTTCATGAACCCTGGGAGATATTGTGAGGTATGGTAGGGAAGGAAGCAAGGAAGGAAGGAAGGAAGGAAGGAAGGAAGGAAGGAAGGAAGGAAGATAGGTGGAAGGGAGGGAGGAAGCAAGATAGGAGGGAGGGAAGATGGAAGGAAGGAAGGAAGGAAAATAGGTGGAAGGAAGGAAGGAAGCAAGATAGAGAGGGAGGGAAGATGGAAGGAAGGGAGGGAGGGAGGAAGGAAGGAAGCAAGATAGGAGGGAGGGAGGGAAGATGGAAGGAAGGAAGGAAGATAGGTAGAAGGGAGGGAGGAAGGAAGGAAGCAAGCAAGCAAGAAAGGGAGGGAGGGAAGATGGAAGGGAGGGAGGAAGATAGGTGAAAGGGAGGGAGGAAGGAAGCAAGATAGGGAGGGAGGGAGGGAAGAAGGAAGGAAGGAAAGGAAGGAAGGAAGGAAGGAAGGAAGGAAATAAGTTGCATCTCTGGCAGTTCCTGTACATCCATCCATCCATCCAGCTGTCCACCTGCACAGTCCTGCTGACTTTGAAGCACTTGGCAACCCTGCCTGGACATCTTCAGTTGGTACAAATTCTTCTCTTTGAGCACCAGGACCAAGAGAAGCAGAACCTCTTGCCTTCCTTCCAAGACTACTACTTTTCTTAGGTCAGGAAGGAGCAAACGCGCCCCGTCCTTCTCTTAACCAAGCACCTTCCTCCGGAGCATCCGCAGAGAATCTCCAACGCAACCTCTTTGGCTTTCCTTCTCATCTCCAGCTAACTCAGGGGGCCTGGCCAATCCTTTGCAGTGCCCTGATGCCATGTTTCTTCCGCTTCTCTAGATCAGCTTTGCAGCTTTGCTGTTGGGGGGGGGCGGGGGTGTAGGGGGAGATGGGTCTAGGAGCGTGATGGCGAACCTATGGCACGAGTGCCATAGGTGGCACGTGGAGCCATATTGCTGAGCACACGAGTGTTGCCCTAGTTCAGCTCCAGCGCGCATGCCAACTGATTTTCAGGCCTTCCGGTCCCTCCGGAAGTTGGGAAACTGGCTGTTTTCAGACTCCGGAAGGCCTCTGGGGGAATGGGGAAGGCTGTTTTTGCCCTCCCCAGGCTCCTAGAAACCTCTGGAGCCTAGGGAGGGGGGAAAAACAGGCCTACCGAGGCCACCATGCCATTGCGTGCCAAAAGCAGGGGGAAGTGGGGGGGGTCACGTGCACATGCGCGAGAGGGCGGGGCGCATTAAATTATGGATGTGGGCACCCGCACCCGTGACCCCCCACACTCCCCCCCCCACTTTTGGCACGGGAGGGCAAAAAGGTTAGCCATCACTGGTCTAGGAAGTATACCAAGAAGGATGCCTTTGCTCATTGAATCTTCAGGTTGGAAGGCGTCGCTCTCTGGATTCAGTGGTGGGGTGGGGATTCCAACTACAGCTTCCTAAGTTTATGGAAATTACACATTCCACAGGGAACCCCTTGAAACTTGGCCCTCTAGCATGGATTCCCAGAAAACCCTCTTAGAATCAGAGCAGAATCCACCCAGTTGTCTATGTAGTTTCTCCATCATCCAGGTCGTGGTTGTCCCAACGGTGCTTTTTCCAAACAGAACAAAACAAAACAGTTGTGAAGAAGCTTCTTGGATGAGAAGCGAAATGCTTTCCAAGGGGAACCCACCCACCCCCCGCCCCCCAAGAAAGTCCAGTTGCCTTTTGGAAAAAGATCCTTTGGGACAATCCGCTCGGTTTTACAGATTTGTTCCCAACACGCCAGAAGGATGCTTCTGAGAAGGTTGCAGGGAGAACAGGGAAGTGTAATCCTTCCTGCAGTGTTGGGTGAGAGCAGGGTTTTTCAAATAGGGTTCTGCGAAAGCTTGAATGGGTACATTGGAATCAAAGGAGGGAGGAAAAAAAACAGATCTGTCTACAAATGATTTGGAGGAGAAAAAAAACCCTCCCTGCAAGCAACTGAGCCTTTTCTTTTTGTAAGGAGAATGTGAAGAGGGTTCCTCCCCACCCCACCTTCAGTCACTAAACCAAAGTGGAGTGTTTCTCGGCTTCAGCATCTTTGAGTTGTGTGAACTTCAACTCCCAGAATTCCCCTACTTGGGGGAGGGGGGGATAAAGAAAGCAAGTACCTTTGGGACAAATCGCCTGCCAGGGAATTCTGGGAATTGAAGTCCTCACAGCTGAAAGTTGTTGAGATGGAGAAACACTGGTTAGAGCAGGGGGTCTCCAACCTTGGCAACTTTTAAGACTTGTGGACTTCAACTCCCAGAATTCCCCTGCCGGGAGGAGGGAGACAACAAGTACCTTTGTGACAATTCGCCTGCCAGGGAATTCTGGGAATTGAAGTCCTCACAGTTGAAAGTTGTTGAGATGGGGAAACATTGGTTAGAGCAGGGGTCTCCAACCTTGGCAACTTTAAGACTTGTGGACTTCAACTCCCAGAGTTCCTCAGCCAGCTTTGCTGGTTGAAGTTGAAGTTGAAGTTGAAGTTGAAGTTGAAGGGAGTTGAAATCAGTGGTGGGATTCAGCCAGTTCGCACCTATTCGGGAGAACTGGTTGTTAACTTTCTAAGCAGTTTAGAGAACCAGTTGTTGGAAGATACCTTCTTTTGTTTTTTCCCACTTTACAGGGCTAATCCTGTAAGGAAGGCAGGAAGGAAACATTCTGGTGTTTCTAGCCTAATCTTTATTGCCCTGCTTATAGAAACTGCCTCTCTGGTTTAACCCTTATTACATTGTAACAGCTAAGGCGAAGCGCCCATCGACGTGAGTGACATTGAGTTGACCATGCCCACACGGTCACATGACCACCGAGCCACGCCTACCCAGCTGGTCATTAGGGCAAAGAACCGGTTGTTAAATTATTTGAATCCCACCACTGGTTGAAGTCCACAAGTCTTAAAGTTGCCAAGGTTGGAGACCCCTGGGTTAGAGAAAGAATAGGGCTTGTCAGCTGACGTGGGCGCTGCATGAATTTTCCTATATTTTATTTTATTTTATTTTATTTTATTTTATTTTATTTTATTTTATTTTATTTTATTTTATAATTTTAAACTGAATCAATTCCACAGCTTGGGGGAAAAAAAGTTTGAAAAACTCTTGGGACAAAGTCTAGCTAAGATTGGGATCGTACCACAAGAGCATTTATCCCCGGTACGTACCTGGGTGTAATCAAAGAAAGACGGACTCTATTTTTCCTACCAATCCAGCATCCAAAGAAGAAAACAAAAGGTCAGGCATAGACTGTTTTCTCCGTCTTGCTTCTTTCGAATCTGGAGGAAAGTCGTTCGGGTTGCGTCGAAAAAGGAAAGAGAGATTGTACACCTGCCGAAGCACAATCCCATCCAATCACTGTGGAAAAGCCTTTGCTTTTGCTAGCGTTGCATCTCCTCAAGCTTCGTCTCCCTTTTTCACAAAACGGAGGTGGCCCCCTCGATTAGTTGCTAAGAACCCCGAGCAAATGCAGGTCATCCTATTCAAAGCACACACACCGGAAAAAAAACCCAAACAAACCCTGTATCCCAAGGAAGTTTTTGGGAATCTGGCAGGAGGCGAGAGAAGCGAGAAACAAATTCGAACTCGCTTCCGACACGGTGTCATTCAATCCTTTCCCAAGCTCGTGATCGAAATCCAAATTAGCTTGGCTGAGAAATTCCAAACTCGCTCCCATCTTAATTGAGCTTGGTGGAGATTAGTGCCTTGGATTAGTGCGTGTGTGTGTGTGTATGTTTGTGTCACTTGGGTTGGGGAGGGAGCGGGGAGAGGGCTGCTGTTGATGTCTTTACTATTAAAAGCACTTTCCGCTTGACTGTTTCAAAGTGGACTTCAAAACTGTGTGACGGAATTAAAAAAAGGAAAAAAAAAAAAGTGGAAAAATCCATTTGAGAGTGCAGCACCGTTTCCTGTTTTCAGCCTATCAGGAGTGACTCTGGATTGGCAGTTTAGTTACAGGAGATCCAATCAGGGGTGAAATGGTCCCGGTTCGGACCAGATCGCCCGATCCGGTAACGATGGCTGAGGGTGGTTCAGAGAACCGGTAGCAAAAATCCCTGCCCGTCCCCCCATGCCTAGCTGAGCCGCGCAATCATCAGAGGCTTTTAGAAAAAAAAATCAAAGCATTTTTTTCTACAACTTCTTCGGCCGAAAAATGCTTTTAAAAGCCTCTGATGATCCCAGCTGAGTTGCCTGATCATCAGAGGCTTTTAAAAGAATTTTTTTACAACCTTTTCGGCCGAAAAATCCTTTTAAAAGTTAAAAAAAAAAGCCTCTGATGATCAGGCAACTCAGCTGGGATCGTCAGAGGCTTTTAAAACCATTTTTTCTACAACCTCTTTGGCCGAAGAGGTTGTAGAAAAAATGCTTTTAAAAGCCTCTGACGATCCCAGCTGAGTTGCCTGATCATCAGAGGCTTTTAAAAGCATTTTATACAACCTCTTCAGCCGAAGAGGTTGTAGAAAAAATGGTTTTAAAAGTAAAAAAAAAAAAAAGTTCGGCCACACCCACCCAGTCACATTACCCCACCACCACCAAGCCACGCCCACAGAACTGGTAGTAACAAATTTTACATTCAACCACTGGCTCCAATGGTTAAATTTGTTCTGAATTGTGGCTGTTTAGCCCTGCTGATATTTCTGTTCTCTACCTGAGCAATAGTTTTAGACTCCAGACCCAGGCTGATATTACAGGATTCTTTCCATTAAAGTTAAATTAAAAAAAAAAAAGAACAACAAAACCCCAAAGTAGGAAATAATATATTAGAACATAGGATACAGGTAGTCCTCAAATTATGGACGCAGTTGAGCCCAGAATTTATGTTGCTAAGTGAGAAATTTGTGAAATGAGCCTTGCCTCCATTTTACAACTTTTCTTGCCATGTTTGTTAAGTGAATCACTTGTCAAATTAGTAACACGGTTGTTAGGTGAATCTGGCTTCCTGGATACTGAATTTGCTTGTGAAAAGCTCACAAAAGGTGATCACGTGACCCCGGGAAATTGCAACCGTCATAAATATGAACCAGTTGCCAAGCATCCAAATGTAAATCTCGTGGCCATGGGGATGCTGCAATGGTCATAAGCAGGGGTGGGATTAAAAAAATTTAGCAACTGGTTCTCTGCCCGGTTGTTGGGTGGGCGTGGCCATGGTGGGTGTGGCCTACTCAGCCTCCTGCACTACGGCGGTGTGTGTGTGTGTGTGTGTGTTTTTGCCCTCCTCAAGCTCTGGAGACTTTCCTTGAGCCTCCGGGAAGGTGAAAACAGCCTCGCCCAGGCTCCAGAGGCCCTCCGGAAGCCGGAAACGGGCCTGTTTCCAGACTTCCAGGAGGCCCATTTTTCGCCCTCCCAGAGCCTCCGCGCAGGCCTGCACTTACCTGGCATCCAAAATGGGGCGCGTGGAGACTCCTGGGAGGGGCAGGGAGGGGTGGGCGGGGCCAGCCAGTCCTTGCAACTATCGGCTCGGCAAACCAGATGAAAAATTAGCATCCGGTTTGCCTGAACTGGCTGAATCCCACACCTGGTCGTAAGTGAAAAATGGTCCTAAGTCACTTTTTTCAGTGCCCTTGTAACTTCGAACGGTCACTAAATGAACTATTGTAAGTCAAGGACTACCTGTATTAGCATTGGAAGGGACCTTGGAGGTCTTCTAGTCCAAACCTCTGTTCAACCTTCTACATCATTGTGTACGTTCTTTGGGCTTTATGGGATGGATATTCATGATCATAGAAAATAACAAAGTAACAGAACAAAATAATAGAAAGGAACCCAGAGGTCTTCTAGTCCAACCCCCTTTTCAAGCAGGAGACCCTATGTCCAAGATGGCAAACCTATGGCACGCGTGCCACAGGTGGCATACATAGTCATATCAGTGGGCACGCCAGCTCAGCTGATTTTTGGGGCTTTTGGGACACCAGAAGTAGGGAAATAGGCAGTTTCCTGCCTCCGGAGGGGGTGGGGAAGGCCCATTTTTCTTCTCACCTGGTTCCAGATTCTCTCTCTGCATCTGGGGAGGGCGAAAACAGCCTTCCCCACCCCCTCGGAGGCCCTCCGGAGGCTTGAAACGGACCGTTTCCCAACTCTCAGTTGGACAGGAAGTGACTTTTTTTGCTGTCCCCAGCCTTCAGAGACTCCTAGAGAGGCCAGGAGGGGGGGAGGGGGGTTGCATGCGCAGGGCGAGGTGCATAGAATTATGGGTGTGGGCACGCGCGTACGCGAACCTCCCCTCCCAGCATGTGATGGCAAAAAGGTTAGCCATCACTGCCCTATGCCATTTTAGACAAATAGCTAATCTCTTCTTAAAATGCTCCAGTGATGGAGCAAACACAACCTCTGCAGTCAAGGCATTGCACTGGTATTATATTAAGTATTTATATAGATTTATATTAAGTATTTATATAGATTTATATTAAGTATTTATATTATTACATGAAGAAAAACAGTACTGCTTTAAGAGTCCTCTGATACATAAGCGTTCTTTGAGCAGAGAACTTCCCCCCCCCCACTGTCATTCAGTCCAGAAATGAAGTTAAATCATTTGCAATAATGAAAAGCAGAGATTTCTTCAAGGGGTCCTATGCAAATCATAATCTCTCAGTTCAAATTGACAAGCTGGTTTGTGTGGAAGGACAGATTATCAGCGCTCAAAGAAAAGTCCACTTAGCCTGGTGATAAAGGCCATGCTCGGTGTGCAAAAAAATAATAATTAAATTCTGCCCATTCCATCTACAAACCAAGGAATGAGACACCTTCACTTCAGTCGTGGTGAGGATGCTTTCATAAAGATGACCATAACCTCCTGGTCCTTTTCGAAACATGTTCCAGTCCAAACTCTACATGGTTAGTTTCAGTTAAGATCAGATGGATTGCTGTATGGAACAGATCTCCGCCAAATTGCAAACAGGAGCATGGCTCTGATATGGAATGATGGGACCAAACAACATTCCTGGGTCAGCCAGAGACAGTTTTTATTGCGCAAGGTTCAGAGGCAGATTGGTTCTTGCTATCTGAACAAAGAAAGAGCCCTGGTAGGACTGCTTTTATACATATCCAAGACAAAGGACTTTGCTGGCACAGCAGTTTTCCATATATGGTTAACATACATCCATTATAAGATAATTGACATTTCCTAATTACTGAATTCCTATATTATTTTCTAGTTCATAAGATTATCGTAGCTAAACATCCTTTATTAGTTCTGTGATTGCTGATGCATAGATTTATGTCTTCCTTGGTTCCATATGGATGTCCTTACATCCTTGACAACGAGGCCCCTTCAGAAGATATATATATATTGCCCAGGATGTCCTTGACAACTAGGTCCCTTCAGAAGATATATATATTATCCAGGATGTAATTTATCTGACTTAGTTTAATCTTCCAAACAAATATTGTTCTTCCAAACCAGCACATTTCTTTCTTACAATAGAGAGGGTTGTTTAGAGTTCATGGGGCTAAGCACGTTTTTTTCCCCTTATAATAATGTGAATAGAGAGGGTCCTTTAGAATCCATGTAGCTGACTCTGTATGATTCCTATTTTATTTACCTTATTCACATTAGCTCGGTAAACTATCAGACTTTGATCCTGGATTAGTCTCTTGAGAGAAACACCTGCAAGTGGTATTTATTTATTATTTATTAGTCCAATTTATATGCCGCCCTTTTCCGTAGACTCAGGGCGGCTTACAATGCATTATAGCAATAGCCTGCATACTTTTTTGTATATACCTGCTTAGTAGGGCTTTTGCGTCCCGCCCCCCCCCCCCGCTAAGCGGTTTTGTTCTATACAATGTCAGTTTATTGCCCCCACAATCCGGGTCCTCAATTTACCTACCTTGAAAGGATGGAAGGCTGAGTCAACCTTGAGCCTGGTGAGATTTGAACTCGCACTAATGGCAGGCAGCTGGCAGCTAAGTGCTAGCACTTAACAGCACTTTAGTCCGCTGCACCACCGAGGCTCTTTGAACCTTTAGTAAGGTGGCAATGCTTAACAGAATAAAAAAGTTGAAAAGGAACTTGGAGGTCTTCTAGTCAGCGCCCTTTTCAGGCAGGAAACCCTATACCAGAGGTGTCAAACTCATGTCACAGCAGCATCACATGATGTAGTGAGACTTTTTCCCCCTTCGCTAAACCGGGCGTGGCCAGCATGAGACGCATCCGGCCTGCGGGGCCACAAGTTTGAAAGCCCTGCCCTATACCATTTCAGACAAAATGGTTGTCCTGTCTCTTCTTAAAAACCTCCAGTGATATGAGCACCCACAATTTTGCAATTATTGCAGGGATTACTTTTTCTAAGTGTCAGGAAATTTCCAGTGTTGGAGCATCCACAACTTCCGAAGGCAAGCAGTTCCTCTGATTAATTGTCCTCACTGTTAGGAAGTTTCTCCTTAATTCTAGGTTGCTTCTCTCCTTGTGTCAGTGCCTCAGCGCTGGCATAGAGAGGAGAGATAAGCTCTGAACTTTTGCCTGCTAAATCCCTTTGAAGCTCGGTCGTCGTGGAAATGAGGAGGGGGGAGACATTCCTGTGAAATGACGAGACAAGAAGTCAGGAGGGGGACTTGGAAGATAGCCAATGAGAAGCAGAGAATTGGGGATCGGAGAGGGAGGGATTGGGGGGCAAAAGGTCAGTCTTGTCTGCATCGAGTCATGATCTGGTTGCTGTGCTCGAATAAAGAAAAGATTTCCTTAAAGATTGGCAGTTTGGAAATTCATTTATTTTGAGATAGCATTGAAGTCTGACACCTTGATTGGTTTCCATCCGTTGCTTCTTGTCTTGCCTTCTGGTGCTTTGGAGAATAGGTGCACTTCAAGGTTTTGGTTACCACCTTTAGAGCGCTCCATGGCTTAGGGCCTGGTTATTTACGGGACCGCCTGCTGTTGCAAACAGCCTCCCACCGGCCGGTATGCTCTCACAGAGAGGGACTCCTCCGGGTGCCGTCGGCCAAACAATGTCGGCTGGCGACCCCCAGGGGGAGAGCCTTTTCTGTGGGGGCACCTACTATCTAGAACGAGCTCCCCCCGGAGATACGGAGGATCCCGGATCTACGCACCTTCCGCCGCGCTCTCAAGACCTTTCTATTTCACCAGGCTGGTCTGGCCTAACCTCTCCCATTCTCTTTTTAATGTAAATTTTAATGTAAATTTTAATTTGTTCTTAACCTGGGGTTTTAAATTTGTCTTGGGCTAAATTGATTTAATCCGATTTTACTTCTGCTCTTAAATTTTTGTATTCTATGTGTTTTATCTTGTGCCTGTTCACCGCCCTGAGTCCTTCGGGAATAGGGCGATATATAAATCAAATAAAAACTAAAATTAAACTAAAACTACTGGTTCGGAGCGGGGTCGCGCGCTCTTCTGCGCAAGCGCAGAAGCATTTTGATGACGTTGGGGTCAGTGGGCAGAGCCTCCCGCCGGTTTTACTACCGGTTCTATAGAACCGGTACGAACCGGGGTCAACCCATCTCTGCCCCAGATCTCTGACATGGAGCTTTTATTTCTTTGTGATTTCTAGATTTCAAAGCATCACACAGATTTTAATTTTATGTGATTGTTCAGTGTACATACTTGGCATGTGGTGTGAATTCAGCCTGTTAGGTCACGCTACTGTTCAGTGTAGTGTACATTGAATGCACAGTATTTTATAACATATATATTTACAACTCATCATTTTATAACTTTTATAACTTTTACAGGTAGTCCTCAACTGAAGACCACAATTGAGCCCAATACTTCTGTTGCTGAGACAGTTTTATCTCTAACCCTAACCCTAACCCTAACCCTAACCCTAACCCTAACCCATTTTACGACCTTTCTTGTCAGGGTTGTTAAGTGAATCACTGTAGTTAAGTTAGTAACATGGTGTTCTGTCCCCGCCCCACACGCACACACACCAACAGACGTTCAAGAGTTAAAGACCAAACCAGCCGGCAAAATCCTTTTTCTTATGATAATGGAACTTGGCAACAACCTAGTGGCTGCCTGCCAAGAGTTTATTACTTACGAAGAGGAGAGATAACTTCTCCCCACTTCTGGTACATCAAAAGAAACAGCTCAATAATTACAGAGTCAATCAAGTCCAGAGATAATCCAGCAAAGTCTATAGCAAAAGTCCGGCAATGCAGAATGGCGTGGAAACTTTCAGCTTTGTTCGTCACAAGGTTTGACTGGCCACCACGCTCCCTTTTATACCTTGTGGGGTGTGGTCCAGTGACTCAGCCTAATCTCGGGCACGCCTTTTCTTCTGTTGCGCGCGCTTATCTCTGCGACGCTGGCGTGGATCCAGCCAAGACTCATTACCCTCATCACTGTCCATCTGTGGCTGCGTGGACGTACTTGGCCCCAGCCCTATCTCTTGCCCTTCGGCAGACACTGAAGGCATTGCCAGAGAGGAGGGTCCTGGAGAGGGAGGCCTTGCCAACTCCTCTCCTTCACTCTCGGAGTCCTCTCCTGCCGATGACACAGGCTCAGGTAACGGAGCACAACACATGGTTGTTAAGTGAATCTGGCTTCCCCATTGACTTTCTTGTCAGGTCACCAAGAAAAATCACATGGCCCCTGGACACTGGAACCATCACAAATATGAATCCCTTGCCAAGCACCAGAATTTTGATCCCGTGACCACAGGGATGGTCCAACGGTCATGTATAAAATGGTCCTAAGTCGCTTTTTTTTAAAGTGCTGCTGTAACTTTTGAATGGTCGCTAAAATAACTGTTTAGTATACCTTAAGCCAGAAAATGGGTGGGCTGCTGTAATTCAGGAACCAAGTAGACCATGTTGGTGAATACTGTATAGCTCTGTTTATTTACAGATTAACAGAGTTGGAAAGGGACCTTCTAGGTCATCTAGTCCATCCCACCCGCCCAAGCAGGAGACCCTACACCATTTCTGACAAATGGCAGTCCAGTCTCTTCTTGAAAGCTCCCACAACTTCCGAAGGCAACGTCTGTTCCATTGGTTGATTGCTCTCACTGTCCAAAAATTTCTCTGTATTTCCAGGTTGAATCTCTCCTTGTTCAGTTTCCATCCATTATTCCTTGTCTGGCCGTGGAAAATAGCTTGATCCCTTCCTTTCTGTGGCAGCCCTTCAAATATAGAATAGCTAGAATAACAGAATTGGAAGGGAACTTGGAGGTCTTCTAATCCAACCCCCTGCTTAGGCAGGAAACCCTACACCACTTCAGACAAATGGTTATCCAACATCTTCTTAAAAACTTCCAGTGTTGGAGCATTCACAATTTCTGGAGGCCAGTTGTTCCACTGGTTAATTGTTCTCACTGTCAGGAAAATTTCTCCTTAGTTCTAAGTGGCTTCTAATGTTGGGTTTTTTACCTGCCTGTCATTAAGGAGCTCAAGACATCTTTTACTGGAAGGTCTAAAACAAAAGGAGCTTTTTTAAAAAAAATAAAATAAAATCACAGAACCCAATAACTCATTTTAGCAAACACCTTAGAACTAAGGAGAAATTTCCTGACAGTTAGAAGAACAAGTAACCAGTGGAAAAACTGGCCTCCAGAAGTTGCGAATGCTCCAACACTGGAAGTTTTAAAGAAGAGGTTTCTTTGTTTGTTTGTTTGTTTGTTTGTTTGTATTTATTTGTTTATTTATTTATTTATTTATTTTGTCGCATTTAGGTTGGCTAACCATTTGTCTGAAGTGGTGTAGGGTTTCCTGCCTAAGCAGGGGGTTGGACTAGAAGACCTCCAAGGTCCCTTCCAACTCTGTTATTCTATCTACCTAACGCCACTCCCATTTGAGCGACAGCCTACGTGGCTCTCCGGAGATTTAAAAAAAAAAAAACTTGTGCCCCGATGCCTGATGGGAGTCGTAGTTCTCAACAGAGAACTAAGTCTCGCAGTGAATCGCGAGACTGAGCGTAGATCCTCGCCAAGAACTATTAAAAAGTCCTCGCCAAGAACGATAAAGAGGGAAGAAGGCATGCCGGGAGTTGTGGTTTTCAAAGCAAGGAGGCCTAGAGAAGCGAAGCTGGCTTAACGGGCCTTTAGGAACTTTGTTTCCCATGCGCCTTCGCGTCACGTCCGGCCATATCGACCATGCTCCGGTACTGCTGTTTGGTTCGAAAGTGAAACGGGAACCAACCTTCGGGTGGTGGATGGCCATTAGTCACCTTTTTTGTTTGCCAGGAAACGTTGAGCCTTGTAGTAGCCTGGTAAGTAAATTTCCCGCCTCTGGAAATCTTTAAAACAAGGGTGCCTCTGAGCATGAGCAGAGGGTGCTGCTGAATATGGATCGTTAGAGGCTCCAGGCAGACGCAAGGGATGTTGGGGGGGGGAATTTCTGTCTGTTTCCCCAAACTTTTACTTGCTCCTTGGTTTTAAATAAACTGACTTCGCTGCCGTGATTGTATATATTTTTCTTCTCCTTCATTGTTGTTCTGAGCTGCCTTCTGTGCTTTTGTCAGCAGGAAGCTCAAATTTAATAGTAAGTGTATATTGCAGAAAAATTAATAGTAAGTGTATATCGCAGAAAATTTAATAGTAAGTGTATATTGCAGAAAATTTAATAGTGTATATTGCAGAAAATTTAATAGTGTATATTGCAGAAAATTTAATAGTATATTGCAGAAAAATTAATAGTAAATGTATATTGCAGAAAAATTAATAGTGTATATCGCAGAAAATGTAATGGTAAGTGTATATCGCAGAAAATTTAATAGTAAGTATAGTGCAGAAAAATTAATAGTAAGTGTATATTGCAGAAAAATTAATAGTAAATGTTTATTCAGAAAAATTAATAGTAAGTGTATATTGCAGAAAATTTAATAGTAAATGTATATTGCAGAAAAATTAATAGTAAATGTTTATTGCAGAAAAATTAATAGTAAGTGTATATTGCAGAAAATTTAATAGTAAATGTATATTGCAGAAAAATTAATAGTAAGTGTATATCGCAGAAAATTAATAATAAGTGTATATCGCAGAAAAATTAATAAGTGTATATCGCAGAAAATTTAATGGTAAATGTATATTGCAGAAAATTTAATAGTGTATATTGCAGAAAATTTAATAGTATATTGCAGAAAATTTAATAGTAAATGTATATTGCAGAAAAATTAATAGTAAGTGTATATCGGCAGAAAATTTAATGGTAAGTGTATATCGCAGAAAATTTAATAGTAAATGTTTATTGCAGAAAATTTAATAGTAAGTGTATATTGCAGAAAATTTAATAGTAAGTGTATATTGCAGAAAATTTAATAGGAAATATAGAATTCTTGACTGGTCACATACACACATACAAACATACAGTGCATTTTTTCTGAACAGAGTATTTGGCCGGTTCACAAATTTAAACAGTTTTTAGTCATTTCAACTAAATTTATAATTTCTATACTTCCTTTTTGCCATAATTATTTATTCTCTCTATTTTTTTTAAAAAAAACAATATTACCCTTCATCCTCACCTCTAATCTTAACCAAATTCCATTTTTCCCTTTTATTCCATGTTGTACCCCTCAAATTTAATATCTCACGTAATACGATTCCTAGTATTTCCTTATATTCCTTTATTATCATTACTGATATTTCCCATTGTCATCTATTTCAATATCCATCATCTTAGTTACAAATTAATTAATTATGTGGTGTTACAATCATTCATTTCTTATAAGAATAGCCTTGAGAGGCAAAAAAAAAATAAAATAACAAATCTCAGAATTCAGACAGGGGATTTTTTTTTTTTTCAAAACTGGGAGGAATTACAAGCCATGTGCTCGAAGGAGATGAAAAGTGAAAGTTCGTTGAATATGGGGAGTCAGTTGAAAAATGTTATCCAGAAATAAGAAGAAATTAAGAAGAGACTAGATAGCCACTTTTCTGAAATGGTAGGATCTCTTGCTTGAGCAGAGGGTTGGACTAGAAGACCTCAAAGGCCCCTTCCAGCTCTATTCTGAATTGAAAAATACCTTCCGAATGCATTGTACAAACACATATAATGTTTTAGTCCCTCAGTCTCCAGTTTGGCTTGTTAAATGGAAACTAGATGGAAAAGGAAGGTTTCCCCTTGAGGTGCACTCGGAGGCTCCAACTGGCACAGAGTGCGGCCGCGCGGGTGGTTATGGGAGCAACATGGAGCTCCCATGTAACACCTCTCCTGCGCGAGCTGCACTGGCTCCCGGTGGTCTTCCAAGTGCGCTTCAAGGTTTTGGTTACTACCTTTAAAGTGCTCCATGGCTTAGGACCTGGTTATCTACGGGACCGCCTGCTACCACCAATAGCCTCCCACCGGCCAGTACGCTCCCATAGAGAGGGACTCCTCCGGGTGCCGTCGGCCAAACAATGTCGGCTGGCGGCCCCCAGGGGGAGAGCCTTCTCTGTGGGGGCACCTACGATCTGGAACGAGCTCCCCCCGGAGATAGGAGGATCCCGGATCTTCGCACCTTCCGTCGCGCGCTTAAAACGTTTTTATTTCATCAAGCTGGCCTGGCCTAAATCATCTCCTCTTTTAAATTTAAATTTTAAACATAAATTTTTAATCTGTTTAATTATGGGGTATTTTAAAATTCAGCCTAAATTATTTAATTTGTTTTAATTTATTTTAGATTTTGTATTGCCTGTGTTTTATCTTCTGGCTGTTCACTGCCCTGAGTCCTTCGGGAGAAGGGCGGTATAGAAATTTAATAAAATAAATAAAAATAAATAAAATAAATAATATAATATAATTATAATATAATATAATATAATATAATATAATATAATATAATATAATTAGTATAGTATAGTATAGTATAATATAGTATATATAATATAATATATAATATATAATATGATATATATGATATAATATGATATGTTCAGCAAACCTGAGTGATCCCAAAAAACGGCCTTGAGACTTTGTGTTCCTCAGTGGAACATTCTACTCATGAAGGAAACACAGAGGTAACGTGCAAGTAGTCCTCGACTTATGACCACGATTGGACCCAAAATCTCTGTTGCTAAGTTGCTCGGTTTATGATTTTTTCCTGTCCCAGTTGTCAAGTGATTCACTGCGGTTTTTTAAAATTTGTAACAGTATTGTTATAAGTGAATCTGGCTTCCCCACTGATTTTGCTTCTCAGAAGGTCGCAAAAGAGGATCACATGTCACTGGAACCGTCATAAATATGAATCAATTGCTAAGCGCTCAAATTTTGATCACATGACCATGGGGATGCTGCAGTGGTCGTAAGTGTGAAAAACAAGTCACGTCACTTTTTCCGGTGCCTTTATGACGTCAAATAGTCACTAAACGAATGGTTGTAAATCGAGAGCAATCTATTGCTTATCTATTTAATATTCCGAATTGTTTTTATACCTTGTTTTTACCTTGATAATATCGGATTTGCTTTTTTCGACAGAGTAACTTTTTCTGCTTTCTTTAAAGGTCTTTAATTCGAAGGGGAGACACCAAACAAAACATACTCCAAGGAAAACATTGAGCTCTATGGGAAGATCATTCTGGGCCTACCTTACTCTTTGCTAAGACTTCGGTATGCTAAAGTTTTTGGTTCTCCATCTTCCTTTCCTTGTTTTGTTTTGGCAAGGGGCCATCTTTCAGAAAACATAGTCCTCGACTTACGACCACAACCGAGCCCAAAATTTTCATTGCTAAGTGAAACGTTTGTTAAGTCCATTTTTTTCTCCATTGTACGACCTTTCTTGCCAGAGATGTTAAGTGAATCACTCCAGTTGTTAAGTGAGTAACATGGTTGTGAAGTGAAAAGTGCCTTTTCCACTGAAGGTCACAGAAGGTGATCACATGACCCTGGGACTTTGCAACGGTCATAAATATGAGTCAGTTGCCAAGGGTCTGAATTTTGTTCAGGTGACCATGGGGAAGCTGCAATGGTCGTCGTAAGTGTGAAAAATGGTCACAGTCGCCTTTTCCAGTGACAACGTAACGTTGAATGGTCAGTAAATGAATTATTATAAGTCAAGGACTTTCCTGACGTTTCATTAAGTATCCTAGTGGACTCTGAGGTATCAGCCCAGCTGCTGTGGCCTAGAGGTGGGGCTCTTGCCTCACAATCAGGAGGTTGTGAGTTCAATCCTAGGTTCGAATGTGGAAGAAGGAATGTGGACATGCGCAGTAGAATCAGAGATAAGGAGCTCTGCATCTACCGTAAATCTTAGAATGGGAGCCCAGCTGACAAATACAAAAAACTGCAGTGACAGTGAGTTCGATCCTAGGTAGAGGCAGATGTAGGGTCTCCTTCTTGGGCAGGGGGTTGGACTAGATGACCTGCAGTGTCCCTTCCATCTCTGTTAATCTGTTAAATTTTACCATTCCTGGCTGATAGCCGAGTTCTTGTTTTGTTTTTTTCTTCCAGCCTCAGCTTCGATGGATACTTTTCCTTTTACGATAGGAGAAGCGATCTGTTTGGGGTCGAGCTTGGCTTTCTCTGGCCTCTTTTATTACCTGCACAGGAAGAAGGCCAAGGTGGTGTCCAAAATCCAGGTGTGACATTTATGTATTAATTAAAGTAGTACTTTTTCAAACTTAGCAGTCTTAAGATCTGTGGACTTCAGCGCCCAGAATTCCCCAGCCAGCATGCTGAGAGTTGGAAGTTCGCATGTCTTAAGATTGCCAAGTTTGAAAAACATTGACTTAAAGGATTTTTAATGTGATTATTGATTTATTTATTATTAAATTTATTTAATACTTTTAAATTATTTTAAATTGATGTTTATTCTGTTTTTAAATAGGCTGTACACCGCCCTGAGTCCTTCGGGAGAAGGGCGGTATAGAAATAAAATTATTATTATTATTATTATTATTATTATTATTATTATTATTATTATTATTATTATTATTATTATTATTATTATTTAAAGAATTGTTCTTCACCGTTGTAACTTCAGGCAGCGTGCCATAAGCAAAGCCCCCCAAACAACATAAAAATTCCAATTAAAATCCATCTAGGTATTGTATAATGGTCTTTCCCTTGCTCTTGAGAAAGCAAAAATGGTATTTGTAGTATAATATTTATATTTCACAGCATTTTAATTATTGCTCTGATAAAAAGTATAACGTCTTGCAACATCAGCGTTATCTTGCATCCATGTTGGATTCAGGTATGCTGGGCCAAGGTTGTTCAGCCATAGTTATGAAATCCCACTGGTTAAAACATTTTTAAGTAAAAAAAAAATCAGCATTATTACTGAGCACAACGGAAGAATACAACTGCACACACTCTTCTTGTTATGTCCATGGATGGGAGAGGAGATTTATTAGATTTTTATCTCAGCTTTATTATCTGCTAAGTATTTTTTGGCGTATAAATCACATTTTTCCACCCTAAAAAGAGGGTGAAAATTTGGGTGCGTCTTATACACTGAATGTAGCCCCGCCCACCTGCCGGCCCCCCACCCTTCGGCTTCCGCGCATCCTCTCAAACAGCCTCCAAAAGCTCCGTTTGAGAGGCTGCCTTTGCAGAGAGAAGTTCCTTTGCAAACGGAGTTTTCGAAGGGTGAAAAAGCAAGGCACAGAGGCCAAAATGGCAACCCGGAACAGCTGCTGCCTTATCGGACCGGTTCCGCGCTTCCCATTGCTGTACTCACTGGAGCGCCCTGCGATGATCAGCTCCATTTTTGAAGCTGCGTATCTGCCCCAATGAAGCGCATGCGCGCTCACAACCAGCGAACCTGTTGCTAAAAGTTCACCTCTGGGAACAGCTGATTGGGGGTATTCTGCCAGTCAGCTGCTTGTGCTGAATCAGGCTAATGTGCTGAAGCTGACCAGGCTGTTTGCTAAGGATGCTAGCCAGATGAATACCGATGGATGCTGGTAGGCAGAGGCAGAATTCCCCGCCCCCCCTATTATCCTCTCCAAAAACTAAGGTGTGTCTTATACTCCGAAAAATACGGTAACTCAAGGTGGCAAACATAAATAACATTCCTTCTTCACCTGTTCTCCCCACAACAACAACTTTTTGAGTTGGGTTGGGCTGAGAGAGAATAACTGGCCCAATGTCACCCAGCCAGCTTTCATACCTAAGACAGGATTAAAATTCATAGCCTCTTGGTAATCGGCCCAAATTTATCCATTTGGTTTTATGTGAAATGTGATAAGAGAATTTATAAAAGTAAGGTTGAAGTAGAATTTTTAAAGGAGTTAACGAGTGTGAGAGACTTTTGAATTCTGTAGTAGTTAGTATATTTTAGCTTATGTTTATTAAATGCTATATCCTGTTTTTGCTCTGGGAAGTCGGGGGGGGAGTTGGGGAGGGAGGGTTTTGGTGGGGGGAAATGATGTATAATAATTCATTTTGTATTGTTTGGTTATTTGAACATAAAAAATAAAAACTTTTGTTGTAAAAAAAAAAAATTCCGCTACCGGTTCTCCAGAACCTGCTGGATTTCACCCCTGGACTGAGCCCGTTGCTAAACAAATGTGCTTAAGTTCGTATACAGGAGTGATTTGGGAGTTTCCTTGGTAAATATGTGAATAAGCAAATGTTTAAGATTCCAAGTCACCTTGATTCTGTATAGGTTCTGATATTGCCTCTTCTATTTACATTCCCCCCCCCGCCCCCCAATTCTTGCAGGGGGCTCCGAAGCTCCAGGTCGATTCAAGTCTTCCCAGCGTTCTGTCCGCCGCAGGTAGCAACTGCCTCCCCTACGTTGTCATTGAAGGTAAGAATTCAGCAAACAGGTTCGCCAAGATTTGAACAGGGGAAAACCCACCACTCCAATTCCTCAATCCCTTCCTTTTCCATTTATCATTGTGAATTCGGCACCAGTTTATCCTTGCTAAATGCCCACCAAGGGACCAACAAGAATCTGCAACAGGAAAATACTATCCTTTGTTAAATAGCTCGTCGTTTCGTTGCGATCCTTCTTTGCGACGGGCAAACTTGCAACTAAAAAGAAAGCTATCGGCTTGCTATATATCTGCCCTGAAGTTGGGAGGATCAACAGATGCTTTTTCGCCTTCTTCTCAGTCTCTGTTTCGTTTTTGGCTTCAGAGCTATTAGAATCCAAAAAGTAGATAGTTTGGGCATAGTAGAAGATAAACAGTAAGGCATTTGGAGAGGACTTGTCAAGATCTTCATGATCTTTTGTAGAACTTGATGGAGATCGATTCATTTCCTCCTCAACTTCTCCCCAGTATAGGTAATCCTCAACTCATGATCACAATCGAGACCTGAATTTCTGTTGCTAAGCAAAAAGTGGCTGTTAAGTGAGTTGTGCCTCATTTTACAACCCTTCTGCCGTGGTGGTTACATAAGTGAATTACTGCAACGTGAGTCATACAATCCGTGAAGTGAATCGTATGACTTTGCTTGTCGGAAGCTGGCTGGGAAAATCTGGGAAGATCATGGGACCCCTGGATGCTGCAATCATTGTTAATACACACCGATTGCTAAGCACCCAAATTTTGATCACGTGACCGGGTGTGTGTGTCCTATAATGGTTGTAAATGCAAGGACCGATTGTAAGTCACTTTTTTCAGTGTTGTCGTAACTTCGAACAGTCACTAAATGATCATGATTTCTCACATGTCTTTTATGTACACTGAGAGTTTATGCACCGAAGACAAATTCCACACATGGCCAATAAAGTATTTCTATTCTATTCTATTCTATTCTATTCTATTCTATTCTATTCTATTCTATTCTATTCCACTCCACTCCATTCCACTCCACTCCACTCCACTCCACTCCACTCCACTCCACTCCACTCCACATTACTCTACTCCCTATTCCTATTCCTATTCCTATTCCATTCTATTCTATTCTACTCTACTCTACTCTACTCTACTCTACTCTACTCTACTCTACTCTACTCTACTCTACTCTACTCTACTCCCTATTCCTATTCCTATTCCTGTTTCTATTCTGTTCTATTCGCTTCGACTCTACTCTACTCTACTCTACTCCCTATTCCTATTTCTGTTCTGTTCTGTTCTATTCTATTCTACTGTACTCTACTCACTCTATTCTACTCCCTATTCCTATTCCTATTCCTATTCCTATTCCTATTCTACTCTACTCTACTCTACTCTACTCTACTCTACTCTACTCTACTCTACTCTACTCTACTCCCTATTCCTATTCTGATTCCATGTAAGTCAAAGACTCCCTGTAAAGCTCTCTTCTAAATCTGAAATGAATCGGCTCTCGGTTTGAATGGCAGTGTATTCTCCAAAATATGAAAATGTTACCCTTCCCCACAGATATTTGGATACCCACCGTTCAGTGTAATATAGATAGTCTGGCATGTTTTGCTTTTAATTCATAAATCTGCTTTTTCTTTTGAAAGTTCCCAAATGTGGGGTGCTAAGTTCTTGATCAGACAGAATTCAATTCGTCTTCGTATCAGTGGGTGGTGGGAGTGAGAACGTATATTCAGCCCATGGTTAGAAATCAGGGGTAGCAGAGCCTTTTGACAAAAATATTTACAAAAATACAAACAATTGTACAAACAAATATATACAAAATATTTTTAAACTATACAGTTAGTCCTCAACTTACAATCATTAGTGTTAAGGATACTGTTGTTGTGCTACCAACCAGCAGAGTGTAGAGCACAGAGAAACGTTGCTGAGAGCAACGAATAAGAGATACGCAAACTGGTTTATCAAAAGTTTACTTTATAGTAGAAAAACAGTCTCATAGTCTTTAAACAAATTCCAAATCTTTGCCAGTTAAATCAGTCCAGTAGTTACAGATATCTTCTTACCAAACAGACAGTAGTTGGTTAGAATAACAAACTCACTCTGGTTCACAAACCACGATGGTAGCAAATCCATCCAACGATGATAGCACAATGAATAGCACTCCTCACACAATGGTAGCTTATCATACTCTGGTAGCATATCACATCAGCTTCATACACAATGGCGGCATATCATAGCAGCAACTGAACACGTTACAATACCTTGCTTAAATACTCTCACAACCAGTGATTATCTAATTACAGCATGACTCAGCATTATAATGAATCAGCAGGAAAACTTTAAAGTCACATAACGCATATATTGCCTGGACAACTTGTTAGGCTCAAACCATATCCTAACAATTAGTATAGCCATCATTCGAAGTTAAAACAGAACTGGAAAAAAGTGACCTATGACCAGTTTTCATAAGACAGTTGCAGCCTCCCTATGGTCACATGATCAAAATTCAGACACTTGGCAACTGGCATGTACTTATGACAGTTGCACCGTCCTGAGGTCATGTGATTACCATTTGTAAACTTCCCAGCTGGCTTCTGGCAAGCAAAGTCAAAGTGGGATGCCAGATTTATTTAATGATCCCAATTACTTGTCTTCAGCTTTGAGTCGCTTAAAGGTAAAGGTAAAAGTTCCCCTTGCACATATGTGCTAGTCGTTCCCGACTCTAGGGAGCGGTGCTCATATCCATTTCAAAGCTGAAGAGCCAGCGCTGTCCGAAGACGTCTCCATGGTCATGTGGCCGGTATGTTTAATCAACGCCAAAGGCGCACGGAACGCTGTTACCTTCCCATCAAAGGTGGTCCCTCTTTTTCTACTTGCATTTTTTACGTGCTTTCGAACTGCTAGGTTGGCAGAAGCTGGAACAAATAACAGGAGCTCACCCCATTACGCGGCACTAGGGATTCGAACCGCTGAACTGCCGACCTTTTGATCGACAAGCTCAGCATCTTAGCCACTGAGCCACCGTGTCCCTTCAAATGAGTTGCTTAACCGTGCCTAAAAAAAAGTAATTGTAAAATGGGATCAAACTCACTTAAAACTGTCTTGCTTAGCAATGAAAATTATGGGCTCAATTGTGGTCGTAAGTTGAGGACTACATCATATATATCATACCCCGAGTTCTTAATACTACAATACAACCCAATTTTTAATTTGCTTGCTTGGGGTTATGTCCTGCTTCAGTCTGAACGGATTCCAAGCAACATACAGACCCAGTTTTTAAGGTTATAACAATAGATAGATGTTTGTAATCTAAATCCTCTGGCTACCGCTAAACAATTAAATCTCTATAAATACTTCCTTTTGCAGGAAGGATCAGAATGAAATACATCCAGTCCACAAAGATTTAGTTTAAAAAAAACAACAGGATTTGATGCCTTTTCAAACACTGAAGCATGGGCTGATTTAATCTCGGGGGAGAATTTTAAAGAGAGGGGCACTGTTAAGATATTTAATTTAATAGCTGAAATAGTAAAATATATAATCGGTCAGAAGACACCATTGTATATGTAATCCTCAACCGACGACCACAATTGAGCCCAAAGTTTTATGTTGTTAAGTGAAACATTTGCTAAGTCAATTTGTCCTATTTTACAACTTCTCTTGCCGCATTTGTTAAGTGAATCACTGCCGTGGTTCAGACAAATGGCTGTTCAATCTCTTCTTAATTGGTTGGAGAGTGCACGCCATCTACGTTATGATTGGTTGATGGGTCTAAAGGGGGAGTGTCCCTTTTTTCCCGCCTTTTTATTCTGTGTGCTCTGTATGCTGTTCCGTGATTTACCTCACGATGTTGTGATGTTCCTAACTATCTTGTCCGCTGAAAATCTAGACGTTAAATACATTTATTTATATAAAACCACAAGTTCGCGACATGCTACTTTCCTGCCTTTAAACTTTATTTCTCTTCCCAGTGATGTTTGGGAAGAGGTCACGATCTCTTCCGCATGAAACCGTAACAGTAGAACCTGCCCAAAATGTATCCGCCAAAGTCCTTGCCGCGATATTTCACTTGTTGTGGTTTCCTGATGGCGGAAAGGATCAGGGACAACTGTTCTTCTCCACTTTTTCTCAAGAAGTCCACCTGCTTTTTAGAATTATATGCAAACATTTGGGACTCAAACTGGGTGGCTCTAAGCTCACTGGAAGGATTGCAATAGTGGGGAATATCTGTTGCTCGGGTGTAGGATGAGGGTGAGGTCCCAAAGGTGCCTTTTCAGGAGGCAACTGGACTTTCTTGTTTTTCTTGGAAGACTTTTCACTTCTCATCCAAGGAGCCTCTTCAGCTCTGACTGGATGGTGGGGAATGGAAGGATTTATACTCCTTGCAGACAGCTGGCCATTTGCATTCTTTTTTAGAGAGTCGTTGAGGCGACTTGGAGGTTTATCTCTGTCCTTGGAGTCACCTGAGTGCTGCAAATGGGTGTGGAGCCTTCTTTGAACTACTGAAAGGACTGTATTGTAGACTGGACACAGGCACCACACCCATTTGTCCCACTCAGGTGACCCTGAGGACACAGATAAAGCTCCAGGTGCATCTCTAAAAGGATGCAAATGACAAGCTGTCTGCAAGGAGCAGAAATTCTTCCATTCCCCACCATCTGGTCAGAGCTGAAGAAGATTCTTGGATGAGAAGTGAAACCTGGTTTTAACCAGGAAGTAACCTTTTTTTACCCTCTGCCCATGCGCATAAGGGTTTGCACATGCACAGAGGGTCCAAGCGTCCATGTGACGTGGACGGGCGGTGCATGCACTTCCAAACCGGTAGGGAAGGTAAGTAGATTTCACCCCTGGATGAAGGATTTTGGAATGTGGTGTTTGACTGCCAGCAGGTATTCATGGATCCTGGTTTCACCTTCACCGGAAGGACCTGGGGCCATTTTAACCTAGTTAGGGGCTTGAAACAGACCACTTTCAAGCTCAAAGACTTGCCAATTTGGAAGATGTCTTTATCATTTCAGGAGTGGTCCAACCGGTCGAAGCTGCCCTCACCAGCCCATACCACAGCGAGCTGCAGGGAGTGATCGAGAGACTGATCCTGAAGGAGCATCGCTTGATCTGGAACAGCCTGGCCCGAAGCTGGTGAGCAGCCCTTTGGAGAAGATGGGAGGAGTGCTGGGGAAGTAGGCAGTATCCTCACATTTATTTGCTCAGGGTGGACAAAAGGGTGGCTTCTTTGAATGCCGAGAAGACACAGGGGTAGCCTTTGCTGGCCCGGTGTCTGTGGTCTGTGATAATTCTGACCTGGTTAATGTTTCCTAGGCCATGTTGTCCTAAAGCTGAGCGTAAATGTGGGTACCTGCAGATTTTGGGAGCTCAGGCAGCCATTGATCTGATTTCATAGATCAACATAAGCTTCAACAGGTGGATGGACATATTAAAACGGGTGGGAAAATATGGCCCCTTCAGGACTCGTGGACTTCAACTCCCAGAATTCCTGAGCCAGCCAGAATTCTGGGAGTTGAAGTCCAAGTCCTAAAGGGGCCACAGTTCCCCACCTCTATATTAGAATGATCTAAAGAGAGGAAGAAAGGAAAAGAACAAGGGACAGCTCCATTTGATGTTCAGTCTGCAAGAGAGAATCAGTAAGTCTTCAAAACAAAACATTTGCCCTCTTTCAAGGAATAAGAGAGCCAGTTCGATCTAGTGATTACGGCACTAGTCTAGAAAGCTGAAGACTGAATTCTAGTCCCGCCTTAGGCATGGAAGTCAGTTGGGTGACTTTGGACCAATCACCAGAAGTCTGTGAGTTCTAGTCCCGCCTTAGGCATGGAAGTCAGTTGGGTGACTTTGGACCAATCACCAGAAGTCTGTGAGTTCTAGTCCCACCTTAGCCATGAAAGCCAGCTGGGTGACTTTGGACAATCACCAGGAGACTGAGAGTTCTAGTCCTACCTTAGCCATGAAAGCCAGTTGGGTGACTTTGGACCAATCACCAGGAGTCTGTGAGTTCTAGTCCTGCCTTAGCCATGAAAGCCAGTTGGGTGACTTTGGACTAATCACCAGGAGACTGAGAGTTCTAGTCCTACCTTAGCCATGAAAGCCAGTTGGGTGACTTTGGACCAATCACCAGGAGACTGTGAGTTCTAGTCCTACCTTAGCCATGAAAGCCAGTTGGGTGACTTTGGACCAATCACCAGGAGTCTGTGAGTTCTAGTCCTGCCTTAGCCATGAAAGTCAGCTGGATGAGTTTGGACCAGTCGCCCAGAAGGCTGTGAGTTCTAATCCCACTGTAGGCATGAAAGCTGGCAGGTTGATAGTGAGCCAGTCCCTCTCTCAGTTTAACCGACATCATAGAATTCTTGTGGGGTAAATAGGAAGGAATATTAGGCATATATATATGCTGGCCTTCAGTTATAAGGGTGAGAGATAAATAAACAAATAAGCTACATGACAACATGGAGTATTGGTCTACTGTGCATAATGCCTTCCCTTAAGTGGTTTTCACCCATGGGCTCCTGTGGCAGCTGTCTCTGAACAGGGTAAATCCGGGCTCCTGATCAGTAGACCCTCACGGAGACTTTGCTGCTTCCTCTCCCCTCCAATCGCTTTCCTGTCATTGCAGGACCGACAGTGAACGGGTGGTGCTGGAGCAGCTGCACACAGTCCCCTTCGTCCTCGCCTCCGCCGACAAAGAGGCAGGACGGGTAAGTGTGGAATTGCCCCTCCAGGCGGTTGACCTGCCCTTGGAGACCGTCTACGAACGCTTCCAGCAGACCTCCCATGGCTTCAAAGACCTCCTCAGCCACTACCTGAGCGGGGAGAAGCCCAAGGGCTTTCTGGAGACTGAAGAGATGCTTTTGGTGGGCAGCAGCCTGACCGGCATTGGCGAGCTGGCCCAGCGCCCCGATGGTACCCTCTGCCTGCAGCCCCCTTCGAATGGAGCCGGCTATTTCCTGTGCCTGGAGGATTGGCAGACCTTGCTATCTGGTTTGCAGTCGGCCAGCAACTTCTGGAAATGGACAGCCTTGGTGTGTGGCTTTGTGGCTGCGGTGGTTGTCCTGCGGGCCCTTCGTCGAGCCCACCGGATCCGCCGGTTAAACCGGGAGCGGGAGGCGCAACGACAGGAATTTGAAGACTACCTGCGGAATCACAACCAGGACGAAGAGCTGCCCGCAAACGGCTGCGTGGTGTGCTTGACCAATCCACGCGAGTGCGTCGTGCTGCCCTGTGGCCACATCTGCTTGTGCTTCCACTGTTTCCAGGCCTTGCCCAACCCTTCCTGTCCCATCTGCCGGGGACTCATAGACCGTGTGGTTCCCCTCTACCAGGCTTAGGGAGGCCTCCTACTCAGTCAGCTGCCCCTAGTCACTAGGGCCTAGTGCAAGAAATTAGGACCGTGTTCACAGTGGTTATACTAGAGCAGTGTCTCAACTTTGGCAACTTTGAGTGGACTTCAACTCCCAGAGTTCTCCAGTTATCCATGCTCGGCTGGGGAATTCTGGGAGTTGAGGTCCACCCAACTTAAAGTTGCCAAGGTTGAGACACGCTATTAGAAACTAGCATCCCAATTATGGGTTGAGGGACATCCGATCTCCTGAGGTATGTGGTCTCGAAGGATCTCCGTGATCTCAGAGGATCTCCCTCTGCACAAATTCTTGCTATTGGGAGGCATGTCCAGAGAAGATGTCTCAGCAAAGGCTGCCTTGATCACCCTTCCAGCTTTGCTGTGCTGGAAGAGACATTAAACAGTCCTTCTGGTTGCTCTCCTGTGGTGTTGAGACACCAACCTCAGAGTTCTGGGGGAATTCTGGGACCTGTAATCCAAACACATCTAGAGAGCGCAGGGTTGGGAAAGGCTGAATTTATCTGTTGCACAGGGAGTCACCAAGCTCCTAAGCCTCCCTTGCTGGTTTGCAAACTTAAAGCAATAATCACTGTAAGAGTAGAGCATCTTACCTAAATGATAGGAGCTGGGGATTTTTTAAAAATTAAAACTCAGTGGTTAGTTGTCTATAAACCACATCCGGCAGTCTTTGCTTCAGGATTTTAACGGTTGAATGCCAGGGGTTACAGGACATAAATAACCAACTCAAGTTCTGGGTTTCCATTGAAAATATTGGCCGCATTTAGCTTCATCACAATATCTTTTTTTAGTCCTTGTCAGGTTCTGGAACATTTCAAATCACCTGCTTCTGAATAGCCCTTGAAGCTTCAGGTTTCCTGCCGATACGAAGTTTAAACTGGCATGAAGTTGGCTGTGTAGAGTTTACCTCCCTTAACTTAGAACTGTGTTTCCCAACTTTAGCAACTTTAAGACGTGTGGACTTCAACTCCCAGAATCCCCCAGCCAGCGTAGCTGTCCACACATCTTAAAGTTGCTATCTTAAGTCCGCACATCTTAAAATGCTGAGTAGGGATTAGAGTTTTAATTGACATGCAAACGGGCTTGCGCAGGAGCCGAGATGCAGTCAAGATGCACCTCTTTGGTGCACAGACATTTCTAGCCGATACCAGCGAATACAGACTAAGGAGGACTAAGCCCTCAATTTTGCTGGAACCGTTCCTTTCAAGTCGGACCTGTACGGAATGGCAGATGGTGTTTAAACATACAAGATTATGATTGATGTTAATGACTGGTTTTTGCCCTCATTTTGGAATTGCCGAGATCTTGCCTCTTGACATACAAGGGTTGGAGGTAGAAGGCTGATCCCAGAGGAGGTGACTGCCAAAAAGACTATTCTAGCATATACAGCTGATTTGCTTTCTTGCCAAGCAGGGGGCTTGCCAGCCCTAATTTTCTTAACATCAAGTTCGGGATGAGAGGCAGAAGCTGTCATCCATGATTTGCCCACTCAAATGAATCGTTTCGCTTCGCGCTATCTTCGACGACGAACCGAGCATTGGATGGTGTTTCGCAGTCCTGCGCGCCGGGAATATAAAGTCAAGAATTATTAAATCGGCAAATCCGTCAAGGCTGGTCTTGTCTCTTTTAATCTAAATACCAATACAGTGGAGTTTGAAGGGGGAAGGAAAGATGAAGAGGAGAATCTGGAAGGGCTTCTGCTTATTTTGGGGGACGTTGAAAATAAGTCACGTGAAGGTTGGAGATGAAAGGGGCGCCAGGTTCTAGCAAATGTGCCCAGAGATGCTTTAGAATGGACTTTCGTTCTGTTGAAAGTTCAAGGTTGAAAGCAGGTGTGAATTGCTATGGGAAGGCAAAGGGTAAGGAGACTGTTCTGAAGACACTGGTGGATCATGATTTTATTTTTTAAAAAATATTTTTTATTGAATATTTTACATTTTTAAAACCAAAAACATAATAGAAAAAGAAAAAAAAAGAACATACACATACACCAAACGGTAAAATACAAAACATAAATAACATTATATAATATTTTACAACTTTCTGTAACGACAATTATCTTTACTTTTAAATTCAATCTTCCATATCATTCTCTTATTCTTGTGAAACCATATTGAGCATTCTTATAAACTAAATTGTTATATATACTTGCATCCTATTTATTAACATAGTCAATATTTTATCCTTACCAGTATTCTGTACTCTTAGATTTCAATTAATCAAATTTCAATTTATAGTCTTATTTCTTGTTGTGATTTCTACTTTCTAGCCACGTATAGAATCTATTCCACACTTTAGAGTAGTCCGAATCATCTCTTTCTTTAATCCCCATTGTCATTTTATCCATTTCAGCACATTCGAGGATCTTTTTAATTACTATTTCTTTTTTTTTGTAAATATTTTTTATTTATTTTTTCAAATTTAAACATAAAAACATAACTTTCAAGAGCAAAAATCTCGATCCGGTCATAGATGGTTACCCTCATTTTTACATCTGCATAACAATTCTAAACATATCTTTATTCTTCTTTACCTTATATCTTATACAAGTCATATCAAAATAATTTTTACAATATTCTAACCTCTTGTTAAGTGTTTACCTTACAATTTTATCATCATTTATTCTTAGTTTCAATTCAATACCACTCCCTTTTTATTATATTTTATAAAACAACATTTTATCTAATTTTAATCCTTTGACCCTTATCCTCAAATCAGTTTACCTTAGGTTTTTTTTCCTCCCAGTTTACATATTACACAGATTTCTCTCAAAGGCATATTTTATTTACTCCAATTTCTAATATGTTTTCCACTATATCTCTAATATTTAACTATCTTCCAGCTTGTTCTGTTTGATTAATTCTCAGCTTGATCCCCTCCAAAACACCAACTATTTAGTTGATTTTAGAATAGTTCCTCAATCTCCTCCAACTCTCCTCCTATTTGTTTGACTGTTTCCAGCATTTTATGGGCTGATTTCCAGCATAGTCTCCTCCTTAACTCCCTCCATTGTTTGGCTGATTTCCAGCATAGTCTCCTCCAACTCTCCTCCTATTTATTTGGCTGTTTCCAGCATTTTATGGGCTGGAAACAGCCAAACAAATAGGAGGAGAGTTGGAGGAGACTATGCTGGAAATCAGCCAAACAATGGAGGGAGTCAAGGAGGAGACTATGCTGGGGATCTTTTTAATTACTATTTCTTTGGGTGGTGTATTTATTGATCTATTTCCACATTTGCGCCAGAGCAATTCTGGCCGCTGTTAGTATATGCAATGTTATGTAGTACAAACTTTTCTCCATTTTCTTATCAATCATTCCTAGAAGAAACAACTCCGGTTTGAAATCAGTCTTTTGGAGTGTAATCTCTTCTAGCCACTTTCTGGTTTTATACCAAAATTTTTTAACACTGGGGCATATCCATCACATATGGTAGTATGTTCCTAATTTAGCCACATCTCCAACATTTAGGTGATAGGTTGGAGTACATTTTTGCCAATCTCGCTGGTGCTAAATGCCATCCATAAAACATTTTATAGCTATTTTCTTTATATGTTGAGATCATGATTTTAACCAATGCAGTGTATTAGTTAAGGCACCAGAATCAAGAAACTATTCCATCCACACTCTGGCACAAAGCAATACTGGGTGACCTTGGGCCAATCACCAGGAGACTGTGAGTTCTAGTCCCATTTTAGGGATGAAAGCTGCCTGGCTGACTTTGGACCAATTACCAGCAGACTAAAAAGTTCTACTCCCGCCTCAGGAACAAAGCCAACTGCATTATTGGGCCAATCACCAGGAATCTGAGTTCTAGTCCCGCCTTAGCAAAGCTATCCGAATGATATTGGGCTAATCACGAGGAGAGAGTGCGTTTTAGTGCCACCTTAGGCACAAAGCCAACTGGGTGATCTTCGGTCAGTCGTTTTCTCTTGGCCCCGGGAAGGAAGGCAATGAAAAACTCCCAAGAAAATTGCAAGGACTTATCCAAGTAGTTGCCAGGAGTCAATACTGACTTGAAGTCAAAAAGTAGAAGAAGAAGCAGAGGAAGAGGAAGAGGAGCTTTGAGCTTTTCCCAGTGTTATGCTTCCAGGTGTTAATATAAGACAGTGATGGCGAACCTTTTCAGCACTTGAGTGCCCAAACTGGGATGCGTGTGCATGTGTGCGTGCCGGAAACCCGAAAACCAGCTGGTCGGTGCGCATATGTGTACCAGCCAGCTGGTCTTCAGGTTTCTGGCACACGCATGGGCGCTGGGCAGATTGTCTTCGTATGTACCAGAGCACCAGAAACTCCCAAGACCAGTTGGCTGGCACGTGCATCAGAGGTGGGTTTCAGCAGGTCCTGACCAGTTCTGGAGAACCGGTAGCGGAAATGTTGAGTAGTTCGGAGAACCGGTAGTAAAAATTCTGACTGGCCCCGCCCCCATCTATTCTCTGCCTCCCGAGTCCCAGCTGATCAGGAGGAAATGGGGATTTTGCAGTTTCCTTCCCCTGGATTGGGGAGGGAATGGAGGTTTTATAGCATCCTTCTCCTGGAGTGGGGTGGGAATGGGGATTTTGCAGTAACCTTTCCCTGGATTGGGGAGGGAATGGAGGCTTTACAATATCTTTCCCCTGGAGTGGGGAGGAGTGGAGATTTTACAGTATCCCTCCCCTGCCACGCCCACAGAACCGGTAGTAAAAAAAAAATTGAAACCCACCACTGGCGTGCATGCCCGTTTTTTGGCCAATGTTTGGCTGTTTTCAGGCCGGTTTCACCTGAAAAAACGGCCTGAAAACAGCACAAAAACAGCCAGTTTTTGTGTTGGTGTTTCAGGCCATTTTCTGGTGTTTCAGGCCATTTTCTGGTGCTCAAGAAGACCAGCTGGCGCTGGCATGCGTGCCCACAGAAAGGGCCCTGCGTGCCACCTCTGGCATGCGTGCCACAGGTTTGTCAACATGGGTATAAGAGAATTAAATTACGCTGCATAAACTAGCAGCCATGGGGCCTGTTCCGCCTCTCCCCTCAGTGACGGTGTATAAAAGGAACACAAGAAAACATAAAAATCATCACACCGATTGATACCAGGCCTACATATCCAGTAAAGGGTAAAACCCCAGATTTTTATATTCATTAAAAATTATTGCAGGCCACCAAGGAATACCTGGCCTGTGAATCAGCTATTTGGCAGCAAGCACAGTGGCAACAGGTGGTGTGGTAAAGCTAGTGTTATACAACTTCATGGGGGGTTTTTTTTGGGGGGGGGGGGGAAGGGGGGGGGGTTGTTGTTGGCAGCTGTGAATTTAATTTTTTCCAAAAAGTGCCAAAGCTGCTTTGGCAAGCCACACATGCAGTCTGCAAACTGTTGTGCAGGCCTGTTAAATCATTGAACAAATCAGAGTTGGCTCAAGCGATTTGCGGGACTAGAAGTGAATAGCTGTAAGGTCCTTCTCTCACGGAAGCTTTTGGGGCACTGAGCAGGTAAGGTTAAATATTTAAAATCTTTGGATAAAGGTGATCCTTGACTTAAAACCACAATATAGAACAGAACAGAACAGAATAGAATAGAATAGAAAATATGGAATAGAATAGAATAGAAAAAAATATGGAATGGAATGGAATAGAAATAGAATAGAAAAGAAAAGAAAATATGGAATAGAATAGAATAGAATAGAATAGAATAGAATAGAATAGAAAAAAATATGGAATAGAATAGAATAGAAAAAATATGGAATAGAATAGAATAGAATAGAATAGAATAGAATAGAATAGAATAGAAAAAAGAAAAAAAAGAAAATATGGAATAGAATAGAATAGAAAAATGGAATGGAATAGAATAGAATAGAATAGAATAGAATAATAGAATAATAATAGAATAGAATAGAAAAAAGAAAAGAAAGAAAAGAGAAAATATGGAATAGAATAGAATAGAAAAAAATATGGAATGGAATAGAATAGATTAGAATAGAATAGAATAGAATAGAATAGAATAGAATAGAAAAAATAAAAAAGAAAATATGGAATAGAATAGAATAGAATAGAAAAAAATATGGAATGGAACGGAACAGAACAGAACAGAATAGAATAGAATAGAATAGAATAGAAAATATGTCTATTGAAAGGCAGTGCATAACAAGCTCACCTTTCTTACAAGTTGTTAAAGCTGACAAACACTGATTTACCCAGCCATGTGTCATTGGGTCTCGGGCTGTCCACGTTGTATGAACCAAAGGCCTTAGCAGCTTGCTCAGGTCTGATCAGGAGTGAAATCCAGCAGGTTCTGACAGGTTGTGGAGAACCGATAGCGGAAATTTTGAGCAGTTTGGAGAACCGGCAAATACCACCTCTGGCTGTCCCCAGAGTGGGGTGGGAATGGAGATTTTGCAATATCCTTCCCCCAGGAGTGGGGAGGGAATGGAGATTTTGCAGTATCCTCCCCGGTCATGCTCACCAAGCCACACCACACCACGCCCATAGAACCGGTAGTAAAAAAATTTGGATTTCACCATTGGGTCTGATGTTCATTTAGAAGAAGTTCATTTCAATTCATATAGAATGTGAAGGATCCGTGTTTGTGTTTTTATTTTTATAGTTATAATGTACATTGAAGATGACATTTAATTTCATTGT